CATGTATTCCTCTAGCGGCTTTTGACCACCCATGCAAACCGTCCAGCACTTTGGCTAGGTATAGGGACATACCAAGAGACACCACTAAGAGCGTCCCGGTAGTCCAACCAAACAAGTAATATCTAGAAGAAATCTGAGGTAACTCATCATTGTAAGGCGTCGTATGGGGTCTTTCCGGTACAGGGAGCTTCTCAATATGTGGACCCGCAAGAGACTGCTTGAGAAGCTCCTTGAAGAAGAGGTTATCCCCGAGCCAGGGCAAAACGTAATGTATCATAAGCCCTGAAAACGGTTGCTGTTGGCAGAGGAATGCGCCATCCCGACGACCCTTCTTCATCATGCTGAAGGCCCGTTCATATCGAATTGCGCATACTTCACTAAGCGCCTTTTCTATGAATTCGAGTTGGAGGTCTGGAGAGGTTGGAATCTCACTGCGCGTGAGGGCGTTGACAAGATTCGCTGCCGCCTCAATCGCACCGTTTCCTCCTTGAGCTGAGATCGGATGGACCTGGATGGCAACATCAGCACAACTAGACACTTCTGTAGTATATGTAGTCCTGGGTCCATGGGTTGCGGTAGTACCTTGGTTGCCGCATCACCGATGATAAGAATCCTCTGGAAATGCCATCGTCTGAAGACATGTTCCTCCAATGGGACCAATGTAGACTTGATGCGGTTGTCGTAGAGATCCCCAAACGTCATATCTTCTGTGATGTGATCTTCTCGATGTTGTGTCGACAAAAGTAACTCATCCTCCTTAGAGAATTTAGGAATGTCTTTTCCGTACTTGGTCTCTCCTAATTCGTGGAACAGGAACCAATACACCCGGCCTCCCGGTGCGGATATGACCAAGTATAGATGGCCTCGAAAAAACGTGCTCTCCTGAGTAGCACCAGGCGGGAAGTTTACGGGCTGCTTAGAAATTCCGAAGATACACTTCATGCTCGATTGTACGACTATGCATAATTATTAGTATATCTCTCTTCGCCAATCCTATATCAATGCAACGTTGCGGAAGTCGTTCCGTACTTACTTGATCTCTCTTCCTGGGGAAATGCAATTGGATCAGAGACACTAGCTATCCGCCACATCTCTTCCCGTACCTTACTATGAACTCCATCACCGCCAACCAGGATATCGCCGGTATGTGTCGATCCATCTTCCGTCGTGACCGCAACTCCTGTAGAGGTGGTTTCCACGTCAACGACGCGCTTGTTCGTGAGAACTTTTTGCTTTTGTCTCAAGTTGTCGTACAGGATTTGAAGTAACATCTGTCTATCTACCCACAAGGACGCGTATCCGGCGCTTTGTTGGTTAGTGTCACGGATACTAATTCTTGAAAGAATTCAACTGACTGTTTCTCCATTCTTTCTGACATGGTAGGTCCGGGAGTTGAGGAGATGGGTTTTCCATTCGCATCGCGGAAGGTCACCCTGTGGTATTAGTTTCCAGCAGCGTCTCGGAGTCTCTCATAGCAGCCTACTTGATCCAGAATGCGCAGGCCGTTAGGAAGTAAGCCGATACTAGCTCCAACTTGGGGCGCAATCTCGGAATACGCTTCGAGAATCGTGTAGTCGATGTCGAATCTCTCTAGCATATTGGCAAGAGAAAGGCCAGCGACACTGCCGCCTACGATAATGATTTTGATACCCATGGCGTTGGGGGTCGAACAATAGAGCAAGAAAGGACTACTAGAAAATATAGGAAAACGAAGGGTCGACTTCGACGGCAAATATAGATTACCTGTGACCTCTTTCGCTTAGAGTAGTCTTGCATTTGTTCTATATCTCTTGCAGATCGCGACATCTCGGATCTTGGCAAATTCCGCTCCGTCGGCAGTTCGGTATCATGGAATCCTGACCTTGCATCCCCCGTTATCCACCGGTCACAGAGCCTAGCATGTAACAGCTCGTATCACTAATTCTCCAGTGAACATGGCTCTCATTGCCGTCTCCTTGACCTAGTGTCTCCATAGCGAAATTTTGAGATGCCGTTCTAGGGACACCGGGACGAGCCGAATCTCCGATTTTTAGGACGAAGCGGGAGTGGTCGACAAGTCGGTCCACAATACGAACCTAGGGAAGTCTTTCCATTATATAATGAGCAAGCTCGCGCTTGGGGCAATTTTTTCGTAAAACCTATTCTACTGTACTAATGGACCTCCAAACATGTCCTGAATGTTATCGGTCATGGATGACCCGCCTTTTTATGCACATCGGGGTCGTTATTTAGCGCATAAATAAACTCCTCTCTTTCGGCAACGATTTCAGGATCACTGGAGTGCAAACGTAGCTTGAACTCTGTCGATGCTCTATCCGCGAATTCTTGCCATGTTGCATTTCGAACTTTTCCGTATTATGACAGGAGCGGACCGGCCTCTTCTCCGAGGATCAAAATTCTCAGAAGGCAATTCCCAAGTGCTGCATAGTCTATGAATCCAGTTGTCAGACCAAGTTCGCCAAATGGGTTCTTGAACTTTAGGAGACGAATAAAGTCAGCTCATTCCAAGACACTGCGTTGGATAGCTTACATGCGCAGCATCGCCACAGAGAACAATTCTCTCATGATGCAAAGTCTTGACACACTTTGATGGGCCCGAAAGGGATTTGCATTCACCAGATCGCACTCTAAGGGTCTGGGTCCTGGAATTAGACGCTTGTAGTTCTCGTCCAGTTGCTTGTTGAGGTCTGAATCCACGATATCAGTCCGGACCCCAAAGGTAACTCGCCATGGTTCGTCTTCTGGGCCAGTTCTAACGATTACTGCCCAGTCTTCCTCGTCAACAATCATGTTCGCGATTGCAAATCCATACTTCCCGAAATCGTACTTAACGTTTGATGCAACAACCGGAAATCAGTCCTGGTGAATCCTTCGAAGGGAATACACAACCATCGCCTCACGGTACTACTCGCACCTTCGCAACCTATCAGATAATCACAGGTGAAGAACATCTCCCCAGCAGGGCCAACTGCAAGTACTTCAACAAGTTTACTCTTGTCGGTCTGGTTAGCCCCAACAAAGCGATGGTTCCAAAGGATCCGAAAGGAATGTCACTTCTGACAATGTTCGAGGATGATCTTCGCGACCAGGTGTTGTCTGAGGTGAATCCCTGCATAGTTATATTTCACAGTCTCTTTGGGGGCTTGAGACATTTTGAGGCTGCCCAGAACCTTGCCGCCTTTTGTGTATGACTGGAGGAACTGAATGCCTTCGTGGTTTGTGTGTTCTGCCTTCACAAGATCATCGACGATCCCGACCTTATCCATCTCGTCCAATACGATTGGCATGTAACTATTAGACCTGATCAGAAAAGTGATCAAGAGTTCTGTTGGATTATCCCTGAGATTGTGGCCTTGGGGCTCTGCAGGATACTCGATTCGGCTTCTAGCACCAACACATCGACCCTCTGGCGTGCAGGCTTGAGCGAAAGGAACAGATCGACAGGACCTGCGCATACAACAATGACCTTGGCAGACTGATACATGGTGGAAAATGCTAGAGTAACAGCGTAATTGATAGTACGTCTCGTCGGATTGGGGGTGAGACTAACGAGTAGATGGTTTTGATACGACTAAGACTATCCGTAGCAGCACTAGAAGACAAATTCTTTGGCTCAATTTAGAGTCAAACAAACCCCACTCTTGTAATTCTCACAGTTCACAATTCCCCACGACTAAGCAGAAGATCAGTGTCAACATGATTGCTCTCTGGTCCACGGGTAAGATCCTTCCACTGGAGTCTGTCTCCTCAAAGCTGATGATAATACCTGCCTTAAGTCACTGCCATGATACCGGAGGACATCAAGAGATAGTGGGGCGATTTTCCAGTGAATACTCCTGAAGATGTCGCCAAAGCCTCTTTGGTGCCGGTGATTCGGTCTGAGATTAATGGAAAGTCATTTCTTGTCCATGGCAAGGATTGTACCGACGTAGGAGATAAGCTGGACGAGACACAGCATTTACGGATGGGATCTGAGCCTAATGACGCCACGCGTGAAGGGCAGCGTAGGCTGATTCTCCAGTCTCTCATTTGTCTTAGTTTTCTCAAAGAAATAGTGATCATCATTCAACTTAATACCTCAATGAAATTCGCTGTGCTTGCACCCTTTCTGCCCCACGAGCCCTCCTTGAGTCCGTAATAACCGTATCGCTGCATATCTGTTTCCAAGGGTCTCGCTTAACATCAGGCTGTGGCAGTTAATTACTTATCCCCGAACACTACCATACTGCCAAACCGGGGCATGTTACTATTCTGCGCTAACTTCCTATTCGGACTTTCCTCTGAAGATGGAGACAGATTGATTTTCATTACAAAACTGGTGTCTCGGAAATTGCCTTTGGCGGTTCCAGGATTCCTCACTTTAGTGTAAGCGGGATTAGGTGGTTATAGATCAAGTAATGGCCTTTGGAATTTGTATGCCTCGATGAGGTTGATCCCAGAGCGCATTGCAGGCTCTCGTGGTTATTTAGAGGGCATCGCAGTAATTGGTGAAAGTGTGAGCGCAATAAAGAGTAAACTCAACTACTTAGCTCATGGTTTTCCAACCGTCAAAGATCTCTCTGGCGCTCTCTACACCAGCGAGGTAGTGCCCGCGCGGTACTTGCTTTTATCTGAACAGACCTTACCGAAATGACTCGTATGCTTCATTAGCTTGGTCGAAGTAGGTGGAAGAGAAATGCCGAGGAGGGCTTTCGATTTGTGCTAAAACGTGGCTGATCTCATGCTAAGGGGAATTATCACAGCCTACTCCAGTCCGCCCGCCTACAAATGCTGGTTTATGAGCCCCAACCAAGCTTTCACATGTAGGACGCTAAGAAACTGTTCCCATGTGATCAAGGTGGCGCCCGAACATTAATCCCTTGATGAGGTCGCAGCTTGTGCACTTTCAGGTTTATCACCGTGCCCACACGCGTTTTTCCAGTTGTCGAATTTGGGTTCAAAAATCTCCATAGATATATATCTATTCCATTTCAATGGGCCCATTCTATAGAATAAGATTTTAAGAGGTTATGCTTGACATATCTCGGACGGTGTGTTTGCCCTTAAGTATTTGCGGCCACTCCTTGCCTACCAAGTAATAAACCATATGGCGCGAGTGTCTCGGCTTTCGCGAGAGACGTGATCACGTTAGCTCCACCAATGGATCAGGACCCTGAAAAACTTTCAATATTTTTGGTCACGAGTGCTCTCGATAGTCGGAGCTTGTGAGTGCAATGCACCAAGATCAGTCTATGTCTTACTTATGGATTTCGAAACCAAATATGTTGATTAATGTGAAACAAAGGCAATTCATTGCGGCTATCTGATAGACGGAGACCTCACGTTGAGCTGGAACAGAGGCTCTAGCACGCAACAAGTCCTTTGTGTTATATATCTTTCGCAACTATACCTCTATACTCTCAGTACCTTCCGGCTACTACATCCGCGCTAACTCTGCGAATGAGAGCCGCGTGCTCCGCACTCCGAGGGCTTATCTTGATATTAAAAGGTGCGGAGTGTTTAGTAATCTGGGGGATCGTCATCGTGTCTATTGGTATCCCTGGTAATACCTCAAAATCAAAGCAATACAGGAGTCGTGCTTTGGCGATCCAGACATTCATCTCTCCTATTTTCCATCCAACACATACTCGACGACCTGTATGGATACTAGTTCTCTGCTACTCTCTGTCGTAGATTAAGGAATGACTTACCTGGACCACATGCCCAGTGACCTTTCAAAACGTTTTGTTCATTATCATCGAGAAATCTGTCAGACCAAAATTGCTCCATTTGATCGTATTCCTCTGGGTTCAGAGCAATTGCCCAAGCGTTCCACGTGAAGATTATGCCAGCAGGAAAATGATAACCTTCGTACTTATCGTCTTTAATAAGTATGGCAGGCGCGCCAATCTCTGCAACATTGGGTCGCCAGCGAAAGCCTTCCTTAAGCACGACCAATATGTAATTAAGCCTCTCCCTGTCCTCCCACCTGGGCAAACGTTCAGTATTGGAGCGACAAACCTCATCCAGCTGTGCACGAGCCTGTATCACCCAGTCAGCATAAGTAGCTGCGCCTGCGATTATCTGACCAATGGTCACTCGAGATGTATCGCTTCCAGCTTCCCTGAGTGTGCCGAAAACAAAGAGTTTTTGCACCTCCGTCATGTTCTTCACCTCCTCGGTACTGGGGAATCGGTGCCAAAGCATTCCCGTTGGGTTCCGTTGGCCATTTGTTCTTTCATTCTGGGCATCTCGAATTTGTAAACTCTAGAGAAGCACATGTCAGTAACTTGAGTGAAGAATGACAGCTGGCGGTTGGGCATGTACTTCGTGGTCTTGTGAAACACTCTTTCTCCTGGTGGCCGCCACCATTGGAGGACTTCAGGAATCTTCTCGTGTAGTGGAAACGCATCAACAATATTAACGCCTGGTTATTGATTCTCCAGAAATAGCTCAAGAGTTTCGAAGAGTTCAACCACCTCTGGGTCATCGAGGGTTGACCGACGGCCGAAGACGACGCTCATTATGATAGAATTGGCATAGCGAGCGTTGGCTGACCATTGTCTGCTGGGTGTCTGCAGATAGTACCAGCAGAGGTTCTTTAATTCAACATCTTTGAACGGTTTGAAAATGTCTTGCTGCCTGGAGTTCAAGATTTGGTGCATGATTTTACGCAGCATGCGCCATCTTTCATTATACAGCATGAGGACGATAATACGTGAATCGCCTGATATGTTGCCTTGGGACATGGGAAACGGTGATCTCGACGAATAAATGGCAGCTCTGCGTTCAAGCAGATTATTGACAACCCAGGAAGAGTTTAAAAATACCCATGTCGAGCCGCCAGACTTAAAGTGAACCTTTGAGTAAGCAAGTTAGTCTTGAAGTAAAATACATAACCAAGCCAGCTTAATACGATACACGACTAAAATTTCGCCCTGGTCCTCGACTAGCTTCTTAGCCCAAGGGCCTTGTTGCAGAGCAGAGATTTGGAATGTATTGCCGAACACCGGGATGCCGGGGACTTGTGGGGGAAGCTTGAACCCTTTGTTACACCGAGATTTTCTTAGCAACAATGATCCAAGAACAGTAGCCAGTACTATCCAGGATACAAACAGGGCTTTTTGGGATATCATGCTGAATGATGTAAACAATCTGTAACTGACTGTAGCTTCGAGATTGCCGATGGTAAGCAAGTAAGTTCTGACTACCGAGAGTGCTATTTGAACGAAGAGACTCAGAAAAAGTCCTGTCACAATGTCTGATCTTTCGTTCGGAAACGAGAAGTAATATCAAACTATTACGAACTAGAAACTCCTTTCTATAGGAATTATCCACGGACCTCGCACGAAGTTCCCCGTAATCTGCCGAACCTATATCCTCACTCCGTATACAGCCACACTTAATTTGAAGCTCTGACCGAACTTCTAACTAGACTTGAGCCCCACTCGCCTCTACTCGTTCTCCTCATCGGGGAGTTGTAGTAATTAGTTAGACTTCTGACTAAGTGTGAAGTGACTTATATTTCATAAAAGCTAGAGTACTTAGTTATGCACCTTTTGTCGTACCAAACACCCATATATTAGTTATTTGAGTACTAGCTCGGAGTGCATGGCAATATAAATTCTGTTTAAGGCCTCACATCCGTATCGCGGGCACGTCCAATGCTTCTGGCACGAATGTTGGCTATTAGTTCGAAGAGAAAAAGGCAACGATATAGTACTCCAAATGTTTCTCTAGCTGCAAGCTCCTTGGTGCATTTAATAACTCTATAGAGAAGCACACCAATCCTTTGCACACAAGCGCCCGGCTCATGCATACGTCCCTCCTTCTCAACTTGACGCTACACTCCACTTGGTTTGACTGGCTAAGCTTAAAATGAGAGATAGATGTCGTGCCCTCGATATGTCTTGCATTTCCGTCAGCGCAATGGCTATCATTACCGCCTTGTTCTACAGACTTTTTTTGCATCCTCTCTCCTATCTGCCTGGCCCTCTGCCAGCCAAATTAACAGGTCTCTGGCGCACAGCAAAATACGTTCAAGGCAACTGATACGATGACATACTCTCCATCCATAACAAATACGGAAGAGTGGTACGAATTGCACCCAACGAAGTTTCTGTAGTAGACGAATACTCCATGAAAAACTTGTACGGCCACGGTCACAATGCCACCAAAACGGATTGGTATTCCATTTGGGACCCTCCTAATACAGCACCTCAACTTTTCTGGGAATTGGACAAGAAGCACCATAATTTCCTTAGAGAGCGCCTGGCGAGTGCTTACTCAATGTCTTCAGTCCACAAATACGAGGTACATATTCAGGCCTGTCTCGATTTCCTGGTCCGAAAGCTTAAGAAGTACGCCCAAAATGGCGAGACCGTTGACATGGCTATATGGACTAATGCTTTTACATTTGGTGTAGTTGGTGAACTCGGCTATGGTTCCCAATTTGGCCATCTTGAGCAAGAAAAGGACGCTGGTCAACTTCGAAGAACCAAATTCGATGATTTCCAGCTTTTGTCATCCGTCGGCCACCTTCCTCGGTGGCCATGGCTTGTTATAAGTCGTGGGGCTTAAATAATCACTGGATTCTTCAATACCGACCAATCCCTGGTAGCTTTCCGCACTTGGTCCGCGGTGAGAGTCCAGAAGTAACTAGACGACCCTGAGATGACCGGACGGGAAGACCTTCTGGCTTATTTCTGCCAAATGAAGAACCTCGAAGGCAAGCCAGCTTCTTCCGTTGAAATCCTGGCGGTGGCGATGAATTTAGTGTAAGTCTAACCTCCTCATCATAAGGCATAGCTGCTAAGAGTAACTCCAGTGGGGCAGGAGCAGACACAACCTCCATTGGCATGCGAACCTGCCTATTTCACTTGGCAGCAATTCCAGAAGTGCAGGCTAAGTTGAGAGAGGAAATCGACACCTTTTACGATGTAAATGATCTGAAAGCACCAATGTCTTACCTGGAACCCCACAAGCTGCCCTATCTACAAGCAGTCATCAAGGAGGCCATTCGACTACTACCGTCCATCGTCTTTCAGCTCCTACGACACACGCCACCTGACTTTAAGGTTAGGGGTATCAAGGTCCTTGTGAACACAACGATTGGAATCAGCCCTATGGCTCAAAATCGTGATTGGGTTCAGATGCAAACGAGTTCCGCCCGGGCCGATGGCGAAAACGAAGACAAGACGAGATACTTCGATTGTAGTACGATGACGTTTGGCGGTAGCGGACCGATAATGTGTATCGGAAGTAATATTGCGCTAGTAAGTCAGACAGGACCATGTGCCTTGGGTGGAGGTAAAACTGACCAGCTGTGGTTTTCTATAGGTGGAGCTGCACAAGTTCGTGGCCCAGCCCGTGCACAACTTCGACTTTGAGCTTGTCAATAAGAATATTCCTTGGAGAATCAAGGCGTATTGATTCGCGTATCAGAGCGAAGTTTTTATGAATATAAGCCGACGGAAATAAGTGTTCATCAGACTGCATCATCAGTTGATGCCCGAGAATGGAAGGCGCGGATGTTCTGCTTGTCAAACTATACTTCACTAGATAACTGCTCCTGGCATACATTACGACATTGTTTATTTGTTTGTTTGATTGTTGAACGCCTGTTCCACCCGTCAGGTAAAGGGCGCCTTCGTCGGCTATCGAGTACTGTATACATTATAATAGTGCCACTGCTCTGTCTATTTCCATGCGCTTTCTAACCCGTTTACCTTGACGCTCACTCTCATGCTATTAGGCAGGTCTGTTGTACTCAACACAAAGCGCGACAATGGCTGAGTCGTAAAGAACGTGTTAGTCGCGCTATCGATGCCACCGTTAATAAAGACCTCAAGAATCGACCTATCGATCACTCCACTGAGACCCCACGAGTTTTGTTCTGTTGTCAAACTACTAATAGACGTTCTCTCTGTGAAAAAAATATTCTCGAAGCCCCGGGCGCCATTGCGGTTGACAAAAAACACGGGATCCCCGCCAAAGAAGTATCCGCCGTTGATGTACTCTCCGGTAGCAGGGCTCGAGAACGTGAAGTTCAAAGAAGCAGCTGCCGGGATATCTTTCTCTGGAATGCCTGTCACGTTAACCTCCCAGAAAATGGCGTTGGATTCCACATCGGCATAGTCCACGATCAGCGATCCGTTACCCATGCTGTGGTTGGAGGCTAGTTCACGACCTAGCACAGGCTCCAAGTTGTAGGGGGCCGAAACCAACTTCCATCCCACTCGCTTCGCCTTGGTCAAATAGTTCTGACGCGGAAGACTCATGATGCTTCGCCAGCCCTCCTTGTCAGTCGGAACCGTTTGAGCATATTGCCAATTGGATGCCCATGCGATTGACACCGGGAATTCCTCAGCCGGAAGGCCGTAGAACCATTGCCCAGCATAGTTATCCTTTCCAAAGTCTGCAATTCTCGCAGCCGCGTCAACAGCCTCAAAGTGAGTGCCATTAAACGTGCCAGGATGGTACTCCGTTATAGAGCCTCCTAGAGGCGCACCTGGGTTGATGCTGATGGCCATAAGCCACATGTCGTCCTGCCTCTTGCCCTCTGCGTCTATGTAAGGCATAGAAATCAGGTTTGGGCACTCATACTGCAGGCCCAAAAGCCCATGATGGGAGAAGTTGCTAGTTGCTGTCCAATCTTTCAGATTTGGGGAAGTGAAGATACCAATAGCAAAATCATGTGGATAGGCAACCACCATGACCCACGAGTCGTTGTAACGGACGACTTTGGGATCGCGGAACTGCGCACTTGTACTATTGATGACAGGATTGTTTGCATACGGGATGAAGGTGTACCCTCCATCTCTGGAATAAGCGATACCCTGAGTCTGCACCGTCGGCGATGCCAGAGTCTTGTTACATCAGCCATAGTGGTATCGAAAGCTCAATTGGTGTAAACTCACATAAATTGCAACCACACCATTGTCTTGGTCTGGGAACAAGCCGGATGTATTGTTCACATCAACAACAGCACTTCCAGAGTAGATGAAGACATCCTCTTCGGGGGGGTAGAGAGCTATGGGCTGATTTGACCAATGGTACAAGTCTTTGGACGTTGCATGTCCCCAATGCTGGTTGCCTGCAACAACGCCCGTAGGATTGTACTGGTAGTACAAATGCCAAACGCCATTGGCGTCTCGGAACATGCCGTTGGGGTCGTTCATGAAATGTTGAGGAGGAGAAAAGTGCACTTGAGGGCGATACGCGCCATTGTAATCGCCAACGATGGGTGTCCCAGTTGGAACATGGACAGGTTGAGAAGAACTGGTTGATTGGCCAAGTGTATGCTGGGTGAACCGGGCGACAACGACAAGGGTCGTCAAGAAGACACTTTGAATCGCCATAGTGTTTATTGGGTAGGAGAAGGAGGAATCCGATAATATGGCAATTACTATCACCAAAGGCAGTTATGAACGCGACATATATACAAAAGCCCAATCGCCGCAAGACCGCTTCTACAAGAGTTGTCTCCACTTGAGGCCACGAGCCAAAATGCTTCTCTCCGAGAAGAGATGCTTTACCCCACGGAGAACAGGCCACACGGCATTCCCAGCGTTGTCTTGACTCGTCCTCCCCGCGATTTTAGTCATGGGGAAATGGCGGAGGAAGCTATCCTTGAGAGAGTGGATGAAGGTTAGCGTACGGGTACGATGTAACCAATGTGAATTTGGGCATTGAGGTAACAAAAAAAGTTGGCAGGGCTTGCTGCGGGTTAGTGATCAAGATAGGTGTTCATCGGGCCGACGATCGAGAAACGTGTTTGTGATATCCACTTCGGGGGAAATTTCGCCTTCGCTAATGGGCTAGAGGAAAATAAGAGGGCGCACGGAGAAGTCTTCGCTGAATCCTCTTAATTTCTCCATAGCTAACGTACGAGAGAGGAGCATCCCACCCGGAAGCTAAGATCAAGAGGGATAAATGAGCTCCGCCTCAGAGGTTGCTCCTCAGATCAGCTGTATTATGACGAGTCTCACTTTTTCCGGTAATCCGAAGGTACCATGGCTCAACTGGTTTTCCGGTCTGTCAAAGGACAGGCCAGGGCGGATTGCATGTCCAGTTAACAATGGATGGTACAGGCATTAATTACAGTAGGATTGACTGTCGAAATACTTCAAGGGCGGTGATGTCTAGATTGGTCCGCTTTGTCACCAGAGATTGAAGTGCTATTATGTTTGTATAGAAGCGTTGCAAGACGTCTTAGACGTACCTCGTACATGGTGACTGACATTTTTGTTTTGGACACCCTAGGAGCGTAGATAATACACACTACACTCTCTTTCTCCCGTGTCCGCCCCTCTTCTGGTGACAGCTGCGAACCTCTCAACTTCTTCTTCAACAATCATGTCTAATTTGTCTCTTAGTAGACCTAGTAGAGACTTAGAATATTAAAATATGAGGCCTCTTCCTTCTTCGGCGCTGTGTGGGTCGTGCGGCGCTCAGAGCTCCGGTCAGAAACGATCTTCGAGTTGAACATGTCCAAAGCAATCGGAACTGTCTCTGTATTCGAGTATTGTCTCAATGAAGACGTAAATTTGCAACGTTGGAGTGATAAGGAAAAAGCTAGGACTGAGTTACGACTGTTTAGAAGTAGATAAGGTTTAGGGACAAGTGGCTGAGATGAGATTATAAAGGCAAAAGGGGCAGTCTGACTCAAGAAGGCTGATGTAGATTCAGACCTGACTCATATGCATGAGTACTTACTGCTACGTCTCTCACGTAGCCTGATACTTTGTGTTTTCCAATTCTTTGATGAGATGGAGTCTCAGCTAGTCGTAGATGCTGTAAACTGTGGTTTTTTAGACCCGAAGGATGCTTCTAAAGGTCAAAGATGAAAGCATTTCTTAAGATTCTCTAAGGCTGATAATTGCAGCATCGAGCTCACATAATTTTGCTAAGAACTAAGCATAGATCTGCTTCACATCATAGTCTAAGATCACCTTATCGTCGATGAGTGTTGATACGATTACTGTTTCGTGACACAATCCAGTAGAGCCAGTCAATCTTGCTGACAAGGGAAGGAAGAATCGAGTGTGATTAGCCCTAAATTGAGGAAGAAATCAGCAAAGGGATGCCGATCACAAGAATTGATAGATAAAAACCATCTAATCGCTCTCAATTTAGCATAGGTAGCAAAAAGGGCGCCAGCAGAGTGCCCAAGGATATTACAGACGGCATGGGGATGCCCATTAAGTCAAGGGATGTCGAACATTCTTCACTTGTCGTCATGTCGGCAAGAATGACTGGAACAAGAATATTGAGGCTTCCAACGCCGAACCCCTGGGAATAAAATTCGGGGAGTAGCGAAAGCCAGGGGAGGGGGGATAGTAGTCCTCGTGTCCAAATGAGTAGGTAGAACTGTAGCGGGGGTGGGGGAAGGAATGACTACATTTACAAGGGAGGTATGTCGCAATCCGATGCGACATGACGAGTCTATGAGCAGTGAGACAGAGTGTCAGAATACTCGTCAGGGGCGATGTTATGACACTTAAACATATAGGCACCATAGGATGAAGTGCTGCCATTTAGCCACGCACGCCACGGAACCTCCCTTTCCAATCAACCAAATTGGGCCCGACTTCGGGTCAAGCCAAGCTGTCGCACTAACCTCGTCTAAAGCGAGCGAAGAAGAAAGCAGAGTCGATCCACGAGAAAAGTCCTATTAGGAAGATTGGCCATAGGTTGATAGTTACTGCGATGATCCCCCTTACGGCCAAGCCATGTTGTTGAACTCTAACGGAACTATCCGACACAGTCTTAATAGATACAGCGGGTAGCATTTTCATTATGAAATACAGTGCATCTGGGGGGGAAATGATAAATAATTGAACATATCCATATACTCTGCTAGGCTATTCCTGGCTCTACGTCAATGACACGAGACAGAGACACTGAGCTTTACCTATCTTTCTACATTCTTTATGGCAACACGAGCCTGGCATACCATGGACTGCTCTCTCGAAGCCACCAGCAGCATCTGGATCGGCATTGTCATCGGCCTGACGATACTCAATGCTGGAAAGGTGGTGGAACAAACCTTGCAGATTTACTCAAAAATAAGGTCCTTCGCCAGTATGTACAGTTGAATGTAAGTGATTAACTCCTATTCACCAATACTCATAGCCAGTTTCCGGATAATGATATATTCAAGGATTTGGGGCTTGCTCCTGGCGAACATCTCTGAAGCTGTCATTGACTGGCTTTATATACGCGGAGACGTTGCCGGAAGGTAAGAAACTGGCAATAGCCCACCCTACCTATCAGTCGCCTATTTAACGTACTAGTCTTGGCTTTTCCGGCGCAGGGACCGTCTTGTGGATAATTCAGACGCAATGTGCACCTCAGATTATCGCAAACCGACTGGGACTTATCATCGCGGATAAAAGGAAGACTAAGATCATGAAGATCACTCTGTTTACAATCGTCGGCATTATGAATATTTTTGTTATGAGCGTAATGTTTCCGATGCAAGCAACCCGGTCTAAGCTGGGTCTACGTATGCAGAGATTCTACTCGCCCGTCGACAAGATTCTAAGTTTGCTAATTGACCTTTCGTTGAACTGGGTATTCTTGCGGAAGCTTCAGCGCGAACTAAACGATAACGGCCTAGTCAAGCATCGATTGCTATTTGTTCTGACTATTGCTGCCATGAGAGTTTCGCTAGCCATGGATGTAGGTTACAGAGTGGTTTGTCTATTTCACCCGTTTCCGAGAATTTCATACAAGACTGACTCTGACTCTAAAGATTCCACTAATCGTTGTGGTGTTTCTATCGAACCCCTATTTATACTCCTCTATTCACCCCACCGTCTATAGCATCAAGGTTGCCATTGAAATGATGATGGCAGATTTCATAGTGCAGGTTGCGCAAGAGCAGCATCAGATGCGGGAGATAAAAGGCTCGTTAACGCGAGGCAAAAGTACATTTACTCGTTCATAGACTGTGTTCAGCTGCAAAATCATAAGTATCCTCTGCTCGAAGTTTCTGGCAAATGAGCTCATATCTCAAGCATTCGCAAACCCATTCGCAGAAACGGTACTTGAGCTAGTCAAATCATCGCTTCGACACATTGCAGGTCATGATGCATCAACGAAAATAACGGAATTAGCAGTGGTGGAACGAGGTTTATTGAATCTTGCCTACTAGTAACACGTTCCGTATGATAGCTGAGCCCCGCACGAACAAATAAGCTCTTAGCTATGGCTTCTCTTCAACAAAGACAACAGATCCAATTCGGGCTCGCGTCGCCTGACTTGCACTCTTGCAGTTGGGCTAGAGTCGAGTTGAATGCCTGACAGCACAGGCTCAGGTTTCACACCTGGCGTCAACTCGAATTCATAGTTCATGATCAAGAAGCATAAAGCAATCTTGATCTCATTAGCAGCAAAGAATCGTCCCGGGCATGAGTGCTTTCCATGCCCGAAAGCGATGTGTTGCGGGGATGTTGTGGCAAGTTGGTGCAGGTTCTCTTGTCCCACCTGCTGGCGCTTTCGAAGCCATCGATATCCATCCCAGGACTTAGGATCTGGATGGACTGAAGGATCCCACATAGAATGCGCAGACACTCCCATCTTGGATCCCGCTGGAAGGATCGATCCATCGGGAAGCTTGACGTCCTTCAAGGCCAGCCTGTTCATGCTCACCACGTTGGGCGGCTTGATGCGTTGACTTTCCTTAACCACGCTATCCATCAGCTTCAGCTTATAGAGCGCTGTCTTCTCCCAGCCGTCCTGATTGATCACTGTGACAATCTCCTCACGAAGGACTGGGATGAGCTGTGGATGGTCCATGATGTCGAAGAGGGTCTGAGTGAGGAGGTCGGTCGTGGTGTGGACAGCAGCCATGGCGAGGGCAATTTGTGCCCGTCCTACGTCGTAGCTGTGACCCTTCGCCATCTGATCGAACCATTCGATTGCATCGTTTCGTGACTCCGCCTTCAAGCCCATAGCAAGTCTTTGTTTATCCTCCAATTGGCGCGCCTCTAAAATATCATTGATGATATTTCGTGCCATTTGTCCTTGCACGCGTACGGTCTTGCACTCAGGCAGAAACCAATGAACAATGTGACGAATTCCAGGAGGATATTTCCTGAGCTCAACACAAGCCATGAAGCTGTTCACGGTGAATTCCTTGGTAATGTTGAGCCAAGCCGGATTGCGACAGCCCACGTCGCCGAGGAATACACGAGATGAGATGCGCGCAACAAGATCCAAGAGTGCGGACTTGAGTACAAACTCCTTCTTTTCTGTAGTTTGTCAGCTGCATTGCTCAAGCGACGCCGGACCATTCCAAACTTGTAAAGCCACTTCACCTTTGGATTCCCCGAAGATCTCTCGGCATGCTTGATCGCACTCGTCAGCTAGCGGTCCAGTTACCTTCCCTAAAGGAAATATGTCAGAACATATCGAGTGCTGTAAACTTCCAGGATACTAGATAGTCCACGGACCGAGAGATTGTGTGATCTTGACTCTGGTAACGTCAGTGACGAGGGAAGTCAGGAATCCCGTCTTGAAAATCTCAAACCCAGGAATGTCTGAAAGAAATTGCTACAAGATTTGTAAGTATACCAGTCAGCTATGGAACAATGTGATTGCCCAAACTTGGTTGACAAATTCCATGAAATCGAGGTCGGCGTCATTGCGAATGCCATTGACAAACTCCGGGGGGAGGATAACCATCTCGCCTACATCGGCGATGATGCGAAATGGTGTCGTATTGCCAACCTACACAAATGAGATTGGCGTTAGAGCTGAACGAAAACGAAGAATTCAACAAGCCACTTGCCTCAGCAAATCCGTCTTTGATGAGTTTGATTGAGTCGAACACGAACTGCCTTCTGGCCTTTGAGTTGCCGATGTCGAACATTGAGGTAGCGACGGTGACATCCGGAAACTTCGTGAGTTTAGATCTGTTCAGGACGAGAATGGTAACACAGAGGGATATAAAGAGCATGGATATGAAGAGAGGCCTCAAAGACAACGCCTCGACAACAGGTACTCCCACAGTAGCATAGTTCGCAGCCATTGAGGCATCTGGGAGAATCTTGGCGTCCATGCTTGATAGTAGCTGGCGATTGGAGAGAAATATCGGTTTAACTGTTATGATTGCGTATGATCAGTTCATCCCATCAACTCAGCTGCGGGATTCGTCTTTTAAAGTATTATCTTCCTGAAAAGGAACAAGACTCCTTTCCGTGGTTGTCGGAGCAGTCCGATCAATTGACCCACGCTTGCTTCCGTATAGACGGACTGAAACACCGTACGGGAATCTTAGTAAGTCCGGTACGAATACGGAACGGATTACACATGCCGTTTGTAACTCCGGTGCGGCACTCCCAAGCGACCTGCGCGGTCGGCAAGGCCTGGATGTTTACGACCGGCATTTACGGAGTCCGTCTTGCTTCATAACAGCCTCTATTGATTGGATAGGCTACTAGTTGTGGCTTAAAGGGAAGAAATAAGCTTTCTGGATAGTTCCTTCGCAGCTCCTCACAGATACAGAAGACGTCTAGGCCCGGTGGTAGTTGCGACAGCTTGGCAGTTCTGCGCGAGTCAATGAGGAGACCAGCAAGCGATGAATTACCAGACGTCTCGCTAAGGCTGGGGCACGTCATGACTAGCACTTAAGTCCAAGCCACAGTTGACTATGGCTTGATGGTTACAGTTTTTCGGACAGGCGTAATGGTGGAGGGAAAGTGGCCCATACAAGTTTAAACATGCATAAAGGCAGAAGGAGCGATCTGGCACGAAGAGGCTGATATCAATCCGCAATATTCCTCATGAATATCGGCAAGATCGGTGCATACATGTAGGTACTTGCACGATGTCCATCTGGTTGGGAACACCATTAGCGATGAGAGATCTGATCGTCGAGAACATGGTCATGGAGTTTTAGATCGGCAGGGAAGTCAAAAGCCAGGGTAGTTAAAGTTGAACAGAAATCAGGGACCGAATGCAGGACAGAGACCTTCTTGGGGGGGGGGGTCTTTTTGGAACCTTTTGGGGACTTTAGGCTTGATTATCCAGCTTTCAGGGCCTGCAGCCCAATGAAGTTGCAAGGGTGCATGTTACAATCTCATGAAGTTAGGAAATCGTTCGTGGAGAAAAACATTTAGGAACGTTTGGCACGGTTCAACTGGGGATGTTACGCCCCCAGCGCCAATTACAGGTAGTCTTGTAAAGTTTTATAGATTCCAGGATTTTTGCCTATGACGATATCAGACGCTCACCGCTAAGACTCTCTGCTAGACTAGTATGGTTGCTTCAGTGCCGTGATATTTGTTTTTGTTTTGCATGTTTCATGCAAATCGCTGTCTTGGTTTCTGGAATAACTGTTTCTGCAAACATGGCCAATTTCATAACTATAGCTGGTTTTGGAAGAATGACCTGCAGAGCCGGGAGCTGTAATCCGACCTTCGGCTTCGTCTCAATGACTCATGGCCCCTCAGATAAATTTTAAAGGTCACGTTTGCACGTTGGCTAAATTGTCTTCGGCACCATTGCATCTTCAAGTTTCCGACCAATATTTGCGCGCCGTTTACTCAGTAACACCTTGACGTAAACCATCGAACTATTTGTCCGTTGTTCTGATCATGGACTTGTACATCCGACCACTATCACTCAATGATCTTGATCGATGCGTTACAGTGGAGGCCGCAGCATTCCCCCCCGCCGAAGCAGCGACTCGCGAAAAGGCAAGTTGCTTTCCAGATCAGCCTTCCTTGCTACGAATCAATTCATCATCACTCAAGCTACCTCTGATGTCCTACATCCCTGCCAATTCTTGTATGAATAGCCACCAGCACATGTACTGTCGCAGTGCTTCAAAGGCAGGGGCGCGCTTGCGAAGAAGGTCGCCGAGCATATCTAATCCGATTTTCCATTTAGATTGAATATCGACTGACGGTATGCCCCGGACTCTGCCTAGGACTGTTTGCCCGTGAGGGCAAAAGCAGCCCAGGACGGATCATCCGACAAGGGACCACCCTGGTCTACAACCCATCCGAAACTTCGAGTCGCGATGACCTCATCGCACACACAATTTCCACCAAGTCGGTCTCTTCTGTTGTAACAGACGAGGACATGGCTGTTCCATCTGCGTGGAAGACAGACCCGACCGCTACATACGACATGGGACACCGACCTGAAGGCAAAACTATAACTTTGCATTCACTGGCTGTTGCGCCCAATTTTCAGAAATTGGGTTACGGCAAAACCCTCATGGCATATTATATCGAGCACATGATGGAAACGGCACAGGCAGAGAGAATTTCCATTCTCACTTATGACAGACTGGTCTCGTACTATGAAAAGCTGGGCTTTACGCATTATGGCAAGAGCCAATCCGAGTATGCTGGAGTGGCTTGGCACGATTTGGTATGGTCTCTCGAGGGCAATCCTACAGGCTTCCTACTGACATTCTCCACCCAGGCTTACGAATTCAATGTTATCTGAATTACATTGCGAGGAGATTCCTGACGATCTGAAAGTCTTCCATTCATACGTCCAAATTGCTCCTTGGCAGCTGGGCCATACTCCGGCTTTTCATTTCAGGACTTATGCTTGAGAGAAACTAGACGAGGGGGTTCATCAACTCAGTCGCATCTCTCCGGTCTACTATAGAAAAGCTACTCATTCTGTCTGGTAGAAATATCATAACAAATTGGCGTCTTCTCTTTGACGCCGTAACATTGATCTACCGAAATCTTAGCTCTCCGCTGGAAAGGCTGTTGCAAGTCGAACGGTCTACTCGAAAGGTCTGCCGGGGTCGCCGCAAGTGACTTTAGTAGGCTTGGCGCATCATGCAAGTACGGCTGAAAGCGTCTTCATTCATGATGATGGACATATCTGTTTTGCTTGGTTGACTTAGTGTGAGCCCTTCTCATGCATCATCTTCAGTCGGCTGTAGGAACAGGAAGATAAAGTCCTGGCTTACTATGGCACAGACTCGCACTACCAACCAACTGCAACCAAGCTTAAGAGCAATGATTCCGCGGAATCTAAGGTAGTCTACAGTCCTCCCGTGCCGGCTTGCCGTAGTTTTGCAGCTGCCGAACATGGACAAACTTGCCCAGCCGAAGTCACATCATTCTTGGACAGATTTCCTAGTTCAGGTTTACGGGAAGGTGCTTACAGTTGTCGTATTCGGGTTGGCCTTTACACTTTGTTTAGTCCAAGACGAACTCTCAGGGGGTTATGCGAACATCTACTACCACAAGTCTATTTGAATGAAATTCGAGAGTGAGTACCGCTCGAAAAGGAGTAGAGTTGGTCGGCTATAGTTTGAAAATTAAAGACGCTCATGTTCTATTGAGTCTTATCAAGAAGTGGGAGACAATCGATAGGTGTCAAAAGTTTTCCATGTGAGTCCAGGCCTTGATGTCGCGTGCAAAATGATATCAAGGTTTACCTCACGGCCTCTATCCACATCGCAAGATATAAGTTAGGCTTATTTGTTTCTAAAAGTATGTGTTGCCGCTAATACTCAGCCGGCATCGTGAGCCCTGATGCCATCTAATGTATTCATAAGGACTGCCAATTCTAATGAGATACAGCATTATCATGAATCATGGTAGCTCAGGATGAATACCGTTTGGGTCGGGTCGATCTTTGTCGTTATCATAAAATGAGTATTGAAGCTCATTTTAGGACTTTACTTCTTAGGTCAAAAAATACGTCGACTTCACCGCCGCAGGAAGTTCTTGCCAAAATCCAGTCTGCTTCAGATCGATGTTGCCAGGTCAGCAAGCCGCAAGTCTACATTTGCCCAGAACATTTGGCGATGCCTAACAACTCTGAAAGCATGGAGCTGGCCTGCTGGGAGTATTCGCGAAAGTTGAAGCACCTTTGGCCACCTTGATGTGTTTTGCTAAACGCTCATCAACCGATATCTTCCATGCATAGCGTCCTTAAATACGTACACAAGTGCTGTCTTGTGGTGCTCCAAAACCCTCATGGCTGAAGTTCTGATATATTTGAGCTTCGTCCTCTTGTACTAGGTAGTTTACTCGAGTGTCTTGCTCGACCATTCCGTAAAGTAGACAATATCTTCATTTCGTTGAGGCATTCGCGGGCTTCGATTGACATCGTCCTGGCACTTGAGTATTGCCATTGGCGGGTCTAACATCTTGCTCTCAAGTTTCAGGATGCCCACCACTTCACCTTGAGCTAACTTGTCCGCCTCGCATATCGCATCCTCTCACATGTGACTGGAAGCATATCTAGTACTATACCTAGGACTAAGGCAATGTAATCCATGTTCGAAATACGGTATCTCAAATCCTGTACATGGCAAGCCCACCTTGATGAAGCATCACGCTGGTGATTTTGGTTACAGAACTTAACATTGAGCTGGCAGCGACTAATCCAAGCGACTTTTCGAGTTACACAGCACGGTACCGAGTTGAAACAAACTTTTGGCAAGTCGTGTTGAAACTCATGCCGACTTTAATCGATAAATTTGATACAGAACTTGCGTTGTCTACAATAGTTTAGGCTAACCGAAGCTTAGTGTCCCCTACGATTCTGGGCAAGGCACAATGACCCCTTGGCTGTCTACTGTGGTCAATAGTCTCCAATAGAGATGATGGATCATGACGAACGATCCGGCATGCCACTGAGCAACCTGAACAACCGCTCAGGAACCCGGTGGCTTCCCCTCTCAGTTGCAATTTGACTACGGAGTACTTACTCCGGTAACATGGCTCGATTATCTCAAGAGTCCCTTATCCCAGTGCTTAGGTGTGATGGCTCAGACACATGCGATAGCAAATTGCTCTGTATTTACAGTTTATAGCGACGATCATTCTAGACGGAAAAGTAACTTTTAATTGGTAGTCTTTGATGTTACCCTGACAAGTCTGGTACGCTGGTTTCCATACTCTGCGGAAGGTGTCAAGCGGAGATGATGAGTAAACAGGGCTGCAAGGCACCGCAGTTAGACTGCCGCTCTAACTATGATAATTGATGTTACCATTCTAGTAACGATATCTTCCATCGGATGTCGACGAGGTTTCATGTGTGTCAATAAGTGATGATCGTCCTGTTGTCTTATCCAGTACCCCCCCACCCGATGTAACACTCACTTGACTCACCTACTCTTTGCAGACGACCCTGCTGCTGTTCACTCCCTTTTGGGTAACGTTTTGTTGGCTGGGTCGTGAATCCAATCCATTCAGGATCAGAACGGTATGTGCGGCACATTTTCAAGTCTTGATCAATGCAGGCTATTTCAACACCAACATTTACCGACGAGACGATCGCCCGGGGTACTGCCGCGGCAGTCGTGTATTGGTAGAATTTGCCAGCCTGAATGCCATAGTACACATCACTTGTGCGCTAAGTTCGATGATGCTTGGAAAGACTGACTACGGAGTATGGTAGCGAGACCGGAATTGGAGAGCCATGTCACCAAAACAGCGCCAGCGACACTATAATACGACAGCGGGCAAGGGTGTCAGAAGGCTGGACTCCGGATGTGCGAGCTGATTTTCTGCTCGGAGGAGCACAGGAGCTTGTTGGGCAGCGCCTTCGCCTTACGGGATATCAGGTCGCATTAACAGAAGCAGATCGTCTACTTAATCAGGTATTCGTGGCCCCCACCAAAAAAACCGTTCCTACGCGTTTGTGGAGGCCAACTACCTGTGCGTTGAGGCGGCGTGGATTTAAATTGGGACCAGCGGACATTCATCCGTGACACCCGGGCTCCTCTTGAAGAACAAGGATCAAAATCTGACGCAATTCCTGGTCTTTTATCCGATCAAGAGCTGCGGGTCAGTCGCGAACTGTCAGTCCTTGAGGCTCCTTGGCGTTGGTAAATGAAACCACCCGGTCGTTGGTAGATTGGGCACTGGAGGCAATAGTGTGTATGGCACGGCTGGACATGCTCGTGGCTGTCAAGAGTAAGATGAAGAAATAAAGTTGCAATCTTGCCCCAATCGCAAAGACAATCTTCAAGGACCCTGCATCGCCTTCAGAGGAAACCAAAGAGTCAGTAGCAACCTGTCATGCTTGTCTCAGAAACCCGCCGACTGCAAGCCACAATCCCACACGGTAGATGAAGAAGAAGAAGAAGAAGAAGCATCAGAAGAAGCGGTAGAGGCAACAGCCACCACAAGAACCGCCCTAGAGGAAGCCCGATCATATGGTTGACTACGCGCGTAAACAGCTGTCAGTGTCAGAAGGAGACTGGAGGCGCAAAGGGCCGGCTGGCTTGGTCCGGGTGGTCTCCCCTAAATGGGACGCCGATGACACCGTAATATGAGTGGAGATGGTCTGAGACAATCAGTTCCCTATTGGAGAATAGCATCGGCTTCAGTCCACATCGTTGAGGGTGACACTTTTGTTCCTCCTTCTAGTGTAACATCTTCCACAATTCCCGCCAGTCGCAGAACAGAACTCGGCTCAGCGTGGCTTTGTGCTCTTTCGTGTTCCCATGGCCATGTCATCCATCATGTCCGCACAGTCACCCAATGCTGTCTGTGCGAAGGTCCCAGTGAAATTCCACCTCCACAGCTTGGGTACCAGATGGCGACGACTCGTTATTACTTTCAAACCTCAACGCCCAACTTGCATTACTCTGGTAATGTCCACCTCCGGCCGCCGGCCATTCTGCTTACTGCTTTCGTCGATAGTCACCGCTTTTGGCGTGAGCCGGGCGGAGCAGTGCCGTCAGACAATTGAGGGGTGGTTCCATGTCGCCAAAGCAGGATCAAGTAAGAAAAAAGTGGTGCCATGTTGGTGAGATTCTGAATTGAGCTCGCTTCTGCATGGGCTGCAGAACACCAGCACAGCACAGTTGCAATTATGCACGCGAGGACACTCATAAGAAATTTCCCGTTGTCCTCCCCAGCACCAACAACCTTGAATCACCTTGCTCCTACGGTTCGGAAGGACTGGGTGCTGTAGGATTGTATGGTCAAGTCCCAACCCGGAAGGACATTTGCCGATGAGATGGATTTACGGTTAGAAATGCAGAGAAAGTTTCCTCTTGCCCGAATCCATCAATTTAGCCCTCTGGAAACAAAATGGCAGGTCAGGGTTAGCATTGCATCCATGCACGCGTGCCAGTGCCATTTGCCATCGTAACTTTTCCGAAAGCAGGCGATTATCATCGAGATGGCCCCCAACTCTTCCCAATCCTCCATTACGGTGGATTTCGTTCCCTGCCACACCTCGTGGGAAGCTGGTCAGGGACAGCAAGGCATCGGAGTTGTGTTTGAGGAGCGGCCCATTGTCACCCTACCACGACAGGACCCCTGAATCTCCTTCACCATCTCGCGACTCTTGGCGAAGGAGACCCCCCGAGGTTCAAGAGTCTTCAATCTCTTCGGGACTAATGCGGGGGAAGGATTCCAGACAATGTACTCTTCGGCCGGTGGCTGGATACGGCCTTTCCACCGGCTACTAACCACCAAACTAACACCAACGTGGGCGATAGCGTGTGAGGCTGGATTACCCGAGATGTGGTTCGCCCCATCTGCCGACATTTGCTCACACCAGGGTCGACACCTCTTGCCCGCTTTCAACATAGCCCGACATGCGAAGATCTCACTCCAATACGGGATAGGTTCTCCAGAAGCTGCAATTGGAGTCTTCCGGGGTGGCCTGCCCATGTTGCTTTCTGCAAGGTTCTGCGCAGGTGTAAGTGTGACGATCAGGGGTGCTGGTGTCTCTCTCCTCTCTTCTTCCACTCACGCCGCATGGCAGCAACAGGGCCAGGCCGCACTCACACATCCGCGGTAGCGCAATTCCGTGTTTTCTTTCCCACATTGTCCAGGAACGCATATCTTCAACAAGGTCCCTCCCATCCGTCTTCGTTCCTGTCAGGATGGAGAACCCGAAGAACGACGTCCCGAATCTGCGGTTCCTCTCACGGCCCCTCCCTTGACAAACACGACTCGTCGTTCGATCCCTTTTTCCTTTGCCCGAGTACGGATATCAAAGACATTGAATCGTCTTGTTCCGATCGCGATGGCGGAAATCGAGAATCGCGGCCCGCAGCTGGTGGCCGTCGGCATAACGCTCGTCACAACAGCCATTGTGGCAACGACTCTCCGATGCTATGTCCGAATCTTCCTCGTCAAGAACTTCGGAGTCGACGACTGGTGCATGCTTGCTGCAATTGTACGCAAACCAATCTCCCCCCCCCCCCTTCCCTCGCCCCGATGCGTCCGATAAAATCTCGGAGATTTCAAGCTGACCGGAGGACCAACTTGCAGACATCATTCATCCTCTTCGTGGCATGTGCAATTACGGGTGTGCATTACGGAACGGGTCGACACAAGGTGAATCTCACCGATGATCAGTGGTCAACCGCCATGATGGTAAGCTTCCGACAGCCCTATCAATTCTTTTGGGGTGGTAAAAAACGATGGGAGGACAAACACTGACACGCTGCAGTTCTGGTGGTACTGCTACCTGTGGTATTGTTTGTCGATGATCGCCTCCAAAATTTCCATCGGCTACTTCCTCCTCCGAATCACGGTCCGCAAGGTCGACGTTTGGATCATTTACAGTGTCATGATGATGACAGTCTGCACCGGCGTCGTGTTCTTCTTCGTCACTCTCCTCCAATGTCAACCGATATCCTACTTCTGGAACAACACGACCCAAAGTGGCCGCTGCATCCCCGTGGATGTCATCATCGCTCTCACTTACCTCTACAGCGCCTTCAGCGTCATCTGCGACTTCACGTTTGCTATTTTGCCCATGGTTCTCATCTGGAAACTGAAGATGGACCACAAGACCAAGCTGGCTCTTGTTCCAATCATGGCCATGGCCTGCATGTTCGTGCTCTACATCCGTCTGCTTGCGGCCAAATGACTAACTACCCCGCGCTTTAGTGCCAGCGCTGCCGTCGTTGTGCGCATGCCATTTGTTAAGGACTTCAAAAATCCAGACTTCCTTTGTAAGTCGAGGTCCCACCATGTCCCATCGTGATTGATTTAAGGTTGTTGGTGGCTGACTCGCGCACTTCTAGATGCAACCGTCGATATTGCAATCTGGTCCACCACTGAACAGGGTCTGGCGATCACCGCAGGTAGCCTTGCAACGCTCCGCCCACTCTTCCGACTCGTAGGATACCGACTCGGCTTCACATCCATGGGACCCTCGCAACTCCACGATTCCGAACGCGGCGCCCCGTCTGCCATGGGGGGCAACATCAAGAACGTCAGCAACAGTAGCTCAAGCCGGGGCCAACGACGCGGCCCTTTCAGTCTTACCACCTTCATGTCCAAGGATGAAAGCGAGAGTCATGAGATGGGCAGCGGCAGCGAACAAGACCGAAACCAGCAGCAGAAGATGTCTTCAAGTAAGCGCGCTCGCGGCTGGGAGTCGACAGGGAGGCGGGATAACGAGAGCGAGACTGAACTAACTTTCGAAGCCTCGAAGGAGTCGGTGGGGAGTGACCGCGACAACATCGTCGTTGTCCAAACCTTCTCTTTGCGGGAAGATCGATTGTAGATGATGTACACATACTTACTATAAATGGTGAATCTAATAGTCAACGCCTCATGAATGGGAAATGGGACATGGTATATATAAAAACTTAATTGAGCAAGATGTATTCGATGACGTACAACTACTTACTGTCATGCACATGACAAATGCATCAGACCAATCTGGTGTCTGATCTAAGTACTTGACAGGAGATGCAGTAGATGAACCATCGCCTATATCCCAGGCACATGAATTGTATGCGCTTGCGAGAATAAGTCAAAAGCAAACCATGGTTTTACGTTCTCCTGGAGTCCCCTGGAAACTTGATCGTCTCAATCTCGATAGGCCACTCGGTCGAGATCTCTGAGGGCAACTATCCACGACGCAGGCACACTAACAAAACCAGAGGCCACGACAATAAGGCACAGTAGAAGTTGACTTGAAAGGTCGACGATTCAGATTGCTTGGATTCTAGTAATAGAGCATAATCTTCGAGGTCTTCCCCGAAGATTGCCTGCGCCACAATAAGCGAAGGTCTCTATGTTGTTCTTTCGTCTCGACTCCAGACCAATCACCGCTTTTGCAGCCACGATTACGACACAATGAATAACTTGTGTGGTCATGTCAAGTAAAGAGATAAGCGGTCTTGCAACAGGAAATTTCACGCAACAAGACTCGTAGTTCTCTGCTATCAGCAATGCGAAGTGTCTCGCAAGTTGCCGTGATTCGCATACCGTCATCTGACAGCAATACTATACTTAACCTACTCCAAGCAGTGGAGTGAGACTGGCGATAAGCATCACCATCCCTAAAGACTAGCCACTCTGGCTGCCGTGATAAGCCATTTTCTGGGATTTTTGGCAGATTGTCGATCCGCAATAACAAGTAGATTTAGTTGCCACTGCAAAGAGCTGTCGTCCACACCAAGAGCGTTGCTAGGCAGTGCTGAAGTGAGTGTCAAGTCCACCTGCTGGAGAGTACACTCAGGGCCGCCTCGCAATGTCGCCTTGGAACCACGAAGAAGGCAATCGTAATCATTTTCCCCGACCCTGGTTAACCTGGAGACAAATTGTTCCTAGGACGTTCTAGGATGGGTAATCCGTCCATGATGATTCTCCGAATATACTTCCTTGTCGCATATTTCTTGAATTGGTTTGTCCCTGGGTCCTAAGATCGGAAGCACATCCTTGTTCTGGTCGACTGTGACATGAAATGCTGCGTCCGATTCCTTCAATGGCGGGCATCGCTATTGGGAGTGTTGAAAGTTGGTCGCTAGTGTGCAGTGTTTGACTCAAGTCTCGTCCTTCATGGATGCGGCGTTGTATTGGGGCCTCGTCGGGCCAGCTGGCATTCCATTCTGTACTGACCTCGGAAGCCGGTTCAGGGAGCTCTGGTTGACCTGCGATAATGGGGTTGCCGGCGTTAATGGTATTGTCGACGTTCTGTCAGCATTTTCCATGCTCTGACCTCTCGCCAGAGCAGCCAATGAGCTCTTAAGCGCATTCAATTGGGCTTGGAAATCGCTACTTTCGGTTGCATGCTGACGGCCGGGATGAGGCTGCTGCTGTGTCGATATTGTCTCCTTTTGCCGTTGAAGCTCGGCCTCGATCCGATCCATTCTCTTGGCCTGTTCTTTCTTTGCTTCCGCCTGTTCGGCAACGTGGTTCGTGAGGTGGGTCTCCACCATTGCGATGCGATTGTACAGAGTGCCTAGGTGCTGATCCAAGGAGGTTTTGCTAACATCAACGAGTGTTCTGCAGTTATTAATCAAGGTTGTGCTGATGGCGATAGCCTCCTCCATCTTTATGATTCGAGGCATGTAATCAGCATTTGGTACGTGGTCGGCGATGGCCCTTTCTATCCTCTTAAGGCGGTCTTCAAAGCCCTCTGGAGGCGGCAGGGTTGATTCAGGTTGCGCGCCCATCCGTTCTTCCAATGAGGCTAGCCGTGTCTCCATCCGGATGCTCTGCTGAGTATCTACTCCTTTTCGACCTTCTGATCCTATTCTGATGGTCTTGTCGCTTGCCCCGGAGGCTTGAGACGACTCTGTGTTGGAAAGAAACCCATTTTTTACTTCCTTCATCTCTTGGTTCAACGTCTTCAAATCGCCTTCGAAGCTTTTGATAAGGCCATGCTGGTCTTGCTGTCGTTGTTGAATTTTTTGGCTCGACTTGCGACATGTCATAATCTCTACAACAAGGCTGTTTATCTGGCCACTGAGCACATCCAACTTTTGTAGGGCATCTTGGCACTTTGAAGCAGTGAGCAGGTTGAGCTGGTCGTGTGCTTTTCGGATATCCCTTGAAAGCTCCTCAGATTCCATAACGAGGCTTGCTTGCTGTTTCAAGAGCTGCATGGTCTCGTCGCTTTGTCCAACTCTGGTTTCGAGCAGTCGGAGTAGCTCATCGCCATAGTGCGACTGTTTCTGGTGTCCGATAGTGGCTAGGTCGTCCAGGTGCGGGCCATATGTCTTGTGTTGTTCTTCAGTCAAATGCTGACTTGCATCAAGCATCGAGTCTGCTGCCCCATGGTGAGTTGGTGTTCGTCGATGGTCTTGGCTGCTCATTACTTGGCTAGAGGGTTCCTCGTGACAAGGGGTGAGCTGCGAGTTCAGTCGCGGGGAGCAGGACGGCGATCCCGGGAGGCATTGCCTTTTCAAGGAGTCGGGCGCTTCAGGGCAAGGTTTCCTTTTCCGCCCTTGGCTTTGAATGAGGTCATCAATAGTGCTTTCTGAAGCAACCGGAGTAGACGGCCTGATGTTATCGTAGCCGAGAGAAGCTCTGCGTTGCCTATCCGGTGTTGGAATCGAGGTGCGTGGAAGGCTCTTCCCAGAAGGTATCATCTGGAGGTGGGCGCTAGTGGAAGAGTCCCTACGTTGACGCTGGACTGATGGTACCGATATGCGCGAGGCCAGATCCTTGCCGGCGCTGCGGATGCTTCCACCTCTTATCTGAAAGCTCGAAGGTGTACCCTTCTTGATGGAGAACGCCCCATATATGGGAGGATTATCTGGATCGATGATAGACATCCGGTCATGCTTCATCAGCTCTGACCATGACTCCTCAACGTATTTCCACTCTTCCTGAAGTTCCTGGGTTGTCGGCTGGGCACCGACTGGCGGGTCAGGATCTCGGGAATTCCACGCGTCGATGAGATTACTTAGGAAGTTATGGCGCTTCTTGTGAATTTTAGGGGTTTCCAGGTATACGCGGCGACGATCCGAGTAGGTTTCTGCAAGGTCCTCGACCATTCGAGAGCTGGCATTATACACACCCCAGTGATCGCGTATGAAGTCCCAAAAACGGGTGCGATCGAAGGCCAGATGTTGACATCTTAACAGAAGCCGGAAAAGAATGACGAGGTTAATGTGTATGCGCTCTTGACGGTCGGACAAGGTCTTCAACTCGACAAATCTGTCAACTTTCTTTGCATTGCCAGGATGAAGAAGAATTGCTTTGGACAGCGTCACTTGATTCGGCCATGGGGGAAGCGGAAGTGAGACGGCTGTGATCCAGAATATGTCGTCGTAGTCCCCTTTCCCCACCATGGTGTAATCATAATGGTTCAAGGTCCGCGAGGGTATCGTCAGGCCAGACTCCGATGTGGGATGCGGATGCTGATATCGAGAAAGAATGTGGGCATAGGAGAGCCGACGTCAAGAAATCGGCGTGCGTGACATTGACGCGAAAGGGACGGGAAGCAAGGATGGGAGGGGCCCCTACCGCGCAGAAACCGAGAACGCGGAACCTGGGAGATGCCGGCGCCGCCGCGCATGGCGGTTTCAGGGGTCACCCAGGGGGTTTAACGCTCTGTGGAGTCGACTCGTCGAGGGATTTGGCTGTCAGTGTTCGCTGGAACGAACTATTCGTCAGGTACCTAAACATTCTCTTATCACCGACGCACCGGTGCTATCTTAAGCCAAATGTCCCTGGCCTCACCCAACTCATTCATTCTCACATTTCGTCTTACTCTTCAGTCTCACTCTCAGTCTCACTTTCAGTCACACACTCACTGCTGCTCAGGAACTAAGCAATTTCATCAAGCGGGTGACACCTTTGGAGGGATGCTCATACCCCATTCTCATTTTTCACATCACCATTCCCACTTACATCAACATCATTTCCTCAACGCCAATTTAAATCTGCAATCGCATTGCTCACCAACACGACCCTAATACAAAATGCTCAGCCCATAACTAGCACACTCCGGAAGCGCACCTTGTTAGATATCATGTGTTCCGAAGCCTTCTTCGCGTCATCCAGTGAGAATCTCTCAACCATGCACTTGATGCCGTGTGTTGCTGCAAAGTCAATGGCCTCCTCCGAGTCCATCTGATGTCCACTAGGCCATCCACAAACCGACTTGCCTCCAACGATAAGGTCAATCGTGTCGACTTCCAATCCTCCGACGGGCGCCAAAACGCACAACTTGCCGCCCGGCTGTAAACCACCGGTAAGCGGCGAGATGATCTTGGGGTTGGGCGCCGTCGCAAGGATCAAAGCCGCACCCCCCAGCTTCTTGAGCTCCTTGACGGGGTCCGTTGCGCTCGAGTCGATGTACTCATGCGCACCCAACTTCATCGCAAAGTCCTTCTTCGTGGACCCAGAACTCAGAACCACAACCTTGTAGCCCATACGGCTGGCGTACTGCACACCAAGATGACCCAAGCCGCCAAGACCTTGGATGGCAACGAGATTGCCCTGCTCGATTTGCATCTTTCGAATGCTGTTGAAAACGGTAACGCCGGCGCAGAGAAGTGGTGCTGCTTCCGCGGGGTCAACGTCCTTTGGCACCCGGACTGCCGACTCGGCACGGAGCAGCACGTACTCGGCGTACCCACCATCCCGGAACACGCCGTTGATTGTCTCGTTATCACAGGCTTGGAAGAATCCCTTTTGGCACTGTCTACACGTTCCGTCATGCCCTGCATGTCACCAATTAGAGAGGGCTCTCGACGTACAAGTGCATGAGAACTCTGGAACAGTCATACCTCCGTGCCAGGCACCTCCAACACGCTCTCCGCCTGAGAAACGGCTCACGCCTTCGCCAACTGCCACCACGTCGCCAATGATCTCATGGCCCGGAATCCGCGGGAAAACGTCTCCGAAACCACCTTCTGCCATGCCCACATCGGAGTGGCATACACCGCATGCCAGAACTTTGACGAGGACGAGGCCGGGACCTGGTTGTTTCAGTTCCTGGTCCACAATCTTGAGGGGCGCGCTCTTGGACTCGATCACAGCCGCCTTGAAGGTTTTTGGAAGTCCCGACATTCTGAATTATGATCTTGTGGTCTTGTGAGTTAAGAGTCAGGGTTTGGAAAAGGGAGAAAAGATGTGCTATGAAAGAGAGGGGGTTGCTCTTGCGCAGACCTCGACTGGGGGCGGCGCGATGGCCACTACTTATACGCATGCAGGACTAAGAGGAAGAAGTCGATCTGTGTATCACACCCGTCGACTTGACTGGTGCAACACTGGAATCCACGCTTTCCGAACGGGTCGGACAAGGTCAGACTTGCAAGCCCCTCATTCGTTTACTAAATAAACAGGATGGCTCCAGAGGCCCAATACCCGTACTTAGACGTCTGCACCGCTGATAAGAACTCCTGGCTGCAGTTACCTCCTGTAGGCTTCGCATGTCTCATAGGATGCTTACAGAGAAGCTTGGATTGTTGGTAAGACTAGGACGGATTTAGAAGAGGGGTTAAAGTGTGGTGGCGCTACTACCATGGCTACGATGACATCAACAAGACTCAATTCAACCCTCATGGATGTGAACCCCTCCCATAGCTCCAGGATAGAGCTGGTTGTGCGAAAAACGTCTTCAATGGTAGTGTAGAGCCATTCAAACCCTTCTGTGTAGGATCAGATGGAGTTAATCGGCCTCCCGTTGCTGCCAAGATATGTACGACCATGACACCGTCACAAACTCCGCGGAGGCCATGGAACCCATGCACGATTTGCTTGTCGAGGATATCTCTACATGGCCCCCATGGGAAGAGCAAATCCACCAAGTTGTGGCTGGAGAATCAACTGCGGCTCGGGAGAGATCTCATGAGAGCCATCGGCAATCGGCGTGCCGAACGCAGGCTTATGTCCTGCACAATTCCGTCGGCCAATGAGAGATTATTCCTTGTCGGTTTTGCAGGGGTCTTATTCTCCAAAGCCGATAGACACGGACGAGCGAGTCCTCCGTTTCGTTGGTACCTCGAGGTAGCCACGGCGGCCTGCTGGACGCAAGGTACCTCATGTTCGAGCCGTTTCCTCGATATACGTCAAACGAGTTCGATTCACTCAGCCTTACCGGAGCAAACAAGGATTCGAAACCATACCAAAGCTAAGTCGACAAGCTTTCGTCAGCACAAGTACCGAGAAGAGAGATATAGCAGGCGTGTCTCCTTAAGAGCTCCGATAAAGCAGGTAAGCTATCCATAAGCTGAGCACTACAGTACCTTCTCTCGCGCTTCGCGCCAAACAAAGAACTTTCGATGGCCGTCCGAGAGCAACAAAATGATAGAGAATACTGCACAGTTGCGGAGATAGCATAGCTCGACCTGTATTCCCCTCCGGAGCCTCCCCACAACCTCGGCCTTCGCGCGCAAGTTATGCTCTCGAGTAACGAAGTCTTGAAAGCTTCGCTCTAAAGCCACGCCTTTTGGGGGTTGCAGATCAGGGTCCGCGAAACTCCATGGATGTGGTCATCGATGGAGTTGATGGATCTTTTGTCGCAGCCGCAGCAGCCGAAAGTTCCCTCTGGTGTATAAATGTCCAAGCTGCCCACATCCTGTATTTTGACTTTTGAAATGATGAAAGAAACACTACTTGAACAGAAGCTTCAAATACTTCAGTCACACGATCCAATCGCCCAACGTATCAACAAAGCTTCCCACACAAGCAGCCCCAGACACACACTACACCCAGAATGTCTCTCCAAGACAAGGTAATCCTCATCACCGGAGGTTCCAAGGGCATTGGCAAGGCCATTGCTCTTGATGCTGCCGCGCAGGGTGCCAAGATTGTTGTCAACTACAGCAGCGACTCATCCGCCGCCGACGAAGTTGTCAAGACCATTGGCAGCGACCGCGCCATTGCCGTACGCGCCGACGGCTCCAAGACGGCCGAGTTGCAGAAGCTCGTGGATGCCACCGTTGACAAGTTTGGCAAAATCGATGTGCTGATCCCCAACGCTGCCATCATGCACATGCGCACTGTTGAGAATACGACGGAAGAGGACTTTGACCAAATGTTCAACACCAACGTCAAGGGGCCCTACTTCTTGGTACAGGTATGAAATCCTGACCCATTCACACGTGCCCTTGTGTTCAATATGACTTACCTTTTTCAATAGAAAGCCCTTCCCCACATGTCTGATGGCGGCCGCATCATCTTTCTCTCGACGACCGTCCTGGCTTCAAGTAGCCTTCCCCCGCCGTACCTGCTCTATGCATCGACAAAAGGCAGTATTGAGCAGATGACCAAATACATGGCCAAGGACCTTGCCAAGAAGGGCATCAACGTCAATGCTATAGCGCCTGGCCCGACCGGGACTGATCTGTTTTACAAGGGCAAGACGGAGGAGATGCTCAAGCACATCACTGCCAGTAGCCCCTACAACAGAATTGGCACACCAGAGGAAATCGCCTCTGTGGCGATTTTCTTGTCAGGAAAGGAATCATCTTGGGTGACGGGGCAGATCATTCGGGTGAACGGAGGGGCAGCATGAGAGGCATAGAATTAGACAAAGGCTTGCGCATGTAGTGCTAGTCATTAATATAGGATTTCCATGTCCAACGCCTTGGTCACACTCCCTCGAGGCAGCCACTCAAGACGCGATCTCGGATACTCTTTCAATGGACTTCAATCCTGGATTTCCATTCATGGCGCCACTGGTCATTCTACTGAGCCCCCAAGGCAGCCAGTGCGTTGCGCAGCTCCTTGACTGCCGTCGGCACGTCTTCAAAGTTGAGCGCCGAAATAGCCCACTTGGCGTGCTTCTGGGCTTTTGGCAAGTCCATGTCATCTGATGGGGCACTGCTTGGTGCCCATGAGTTGTGCGAGCCGGCAGTCACCGGAGCTCTGGGCTGAGGTACAATCGGCGGTGGCTTGGATTGCTGAGGCGCTGGAGGTGGGGGCGACTTGGTAACAAGGGAAGGGGGTATCTGAGGCGGCTGCCACGGCGACGTAGTGTTGACCGGGCTGAATGATGGGCCTGTCGAGGATGCGGCATAAGGAGAAGGGGCCGACGGGGCATTTGCCGTAGCGGAGGAGTCATTTACGCCGGATTGGCTCAAGGGAGATGGCGGGAATTGTTCGGGAGGGTCAAAGTAGCCCTGAGTCTGTGGTGCTGGCGGATTGAGGTCGTTTGCTGACGGCACTGATGGGAGATCAAGCACGCTGGGCTGGGCAGGCTCAGGCTCGCTGGGCTCGGTTGTCGTCGCGGTCTCTGCCGGCGCCGATGCCTTTTTGTAAAACTCGGTCTCCGGGTCGTCCTCTACGGAGGCAGGCTTTGGGGACGTTAGTCCTTGAACGTCTGGGTCATTTGGATCCAGCGCAGGAAGAACTTCTTCGGCCGCGGGCTCTTCCTGTTTGGGGTTCGACTCGTTGGGATCCTTGCCCTCCTTCAAAGCCTTCAGTATCCGAGCAGCGTTCCACTTTGCATATTTGACCTTTTTGAGTGTTTCTTCGTCCACAGGGCCCCAAATATTGCCTAGCAGGAGGAAGGTAGCAGCGGCATCGAAGGTATCGGCGGTTTGTCTAGGTTCGAAGCACGTTAGTAAGCAAGGAAGGTGATGCTATCGTTGGGGAATGGGCGCACCTGGTGACGCGATTCGCGCGCATAACCTTCTCTGCTCTGTCGAGAGTTTCTTGTGCGAACTGCTCAACATATGCTTGTCCAACTGTGTCATCGGTGATGGCTTCTTCCTGAGCATTCTCAGTTTTGGTCTGGCACGGCAACTATTAGTCTCTGACGCACAGCACCGAAGATAACAGCAGCATCATCTTGCTGACCTGCTCAAGCCTATCCATAAGATTTGTCGTGTACGAGAGACTCTCATCGTCCACATTGTGAAGACCCTTGGCTAGGATTTGGTTGACCACCCAGTATTCGCCTGTGTGTGTGTCCGGTCAGTATCTAGGGCATCCTCCGGCTATGGAGTACTGATGGAGACGCCCGGACATACACCAGTAGGTTACCACGGGTTTGTGTTGCCGCAGCTGATTTGCGCGATTGATGAATCTCGTGATATCTGCCTGTCGCAGGCTGTCGGGGATCGGTTCGGCCATGACTGCGGGGGCGGCTGCAACAAGCTAAAGGAAGAGTGTTCGAAGGGCGCGATGGACAGTATCGGGTAAAGAGGTTTTTGATCAATGCCGGGGTCCGGACGAGAGCAAGGGGAAAAAAGCCTTTTGCTCGGTGACAGCTCACGGGCGCAAAGGGGTAGCGGACTTGCGACGAATTGTGCTACACCAAGAGGTGAGGGACATGTATTCTGTGTCTTGGAAGCCATACCGCAGGCCGCAGCAGCAGCAGCACCGTTAAGTTTCCCCACACGGCGCACATCACCTCACAGCGGGGTGGGAAGGTCACCAAGTACGTACCTGTATCTATCTCTTGAGGTGGACGACCTAGATAGGTAAGGTGGATTCCATGTGAGGTACTCCGTAAGGTACTTTCAGGTACGTCTACTCAGGGAATGGAAGCATAAGGTAAAGTACCTAAGGCGAGATACTGTGGCGTGTGGCTGATGCTCTTCGAAGTGTGGCTCAAGCTCTGCAGAGCTGGTGTGGGGTATGTGGCTGATGCTCAGGCCAGATGCTTTGATCCAATTGACTGGAAATTTCCATGGTTCCATTCCCAGACCGAATTAAGCCCAAAAGGTGAGGGGTTCGCGTCTCACAGTTCCACGCTGGCCTCTTTGCGCTGCGAAGAAGCCAACTAAACTTTTATGCTTCCATTTGCTTGCTTTCCCAATTCCATAAAGGCAGACGGGGGCAGAGCTCTCTCATCTGGCTGAACCCAGTTCCATGCTCTGACTTTTTATTCCCACACCTTTTCTCTTATCTCCCGTCTTCCTTTCCTCCCTTCCTCTCTTTCTCCTCTCTCTCTCTCTCTCTCTACCTACCTTACCTTTCCCTTACCTTGCCCATACACGTCTCCATTGTCTGTGGCGTCACATCACTTGCTGCCGTCCGGCACACTTTTTACTCACCTTGCCCACCCCACACTTCACACAAAAGATAAGGTGCATTGCTGCTAAACTTTATCCACCACGATGCATCACCCCACTCTCCTTGCGGCAGGCGCTGCTGTTCTGTCGGCTTTGCCCGGCGCCCACGCTGGCATGTACCCAAAGAGCTCTGCTGTGCTGCAGGTTGATGCCAAAAATTACGACAGCTTGATTGCCAAATCCAACTACACATCCGTAAGATATTGATCTTGGTGTCACTTGCATCACATCTGTTGGGATATACTTACATGAACCTGCTAGATTGTCGAGTTCTATGCTCCCTGGTGCGGTCATTGCCAGAACCTCAAGCCCGCCTACGAAAAGGCTGCCAAGAACCTGAATGGTCTGGCCAAGGTTGCGGCCATCGATTGCGACGAGGATGCCAACAAGCCTCTCTGCGGTCAGATGGGCGTGCAAGGCTTCCCTACCCTCAAAATCGTGAGGCCTGGCAAGAAGCCCGGCAAGCCCGTTGTCGAAGATTACCAGGGGCCCCGTACCGCCACCGGCATTGTGGAGGCCGTCGTCGACAAGATCGCCAATCACGTCAAGCGCGTTACCGACAAGGACCTCGATTCCTTCCTCGAGGGTGACAAGCCCAAGGCAATTCTCTTCACCGAGAAGGGCACCACTAGCGCGCTGCTCCGCAGTGTCGCCATCGACTTCCTCGACGCCGTCACGATTGGTCAGGTCCGCAGCAAGGAGGCAAAGGCCGTTGAAAAGTTCGGAGTCAAGTCTTTCCCCGCCCTGGTGCTACTGCCCGGCGGAGACAAGGAACCTATTGTCTACGATGGAGAACTAAAGAAGGATGGGCTGGTGTCGTTCATTTCCCAGGTCGCCTCGCCCAATCCCGACCCCGCGCCCAAGGCCGATAAGAAGAAGGCCGACAAAAAGGCAGAGAAGAAGTCTGAGAAGAAGAGCAAGCCTGCGTCCGAGAAGTCGAGCACCAGCACTGCCACCGAGCAGGAGTCCACCCCCGAACCCGAAGCCGCCACCGGGACCCCGTCCTCAGAGCAAGCCGCCCCTGTCCTCAATGTCATTCCTCCGCTGCCCGTTGCCAACACACCCGGGAGACTTCTGTCGGAGTGCCTGAACACCAAGTCTCACACCTGCGTCCTGGCTTTTGTTCCCTCCAAGGAAAACGAAAAGGCCGAGAAGGCGCTTGCCAGTCTCTCAGAGATCGCTCACAAGCACGGCCAGGCCAAGCGCAAGCTGTTCCCTTTCTTCTCTGTCCCGGACGAGAACCCGGCCGCGGCCACTGTCCTCAAGAGCCTTGGCCTTACTAGCGAAGTTGAGATTATCGCCGTCAACGCACGCCGGAACTGGTGGAGACACTACGAGGGCAACTTCGATGCGGCGAGCGTCGAGAGCTGGATTGATGCTATCCGCCTTGGTGAGGGAGCGAAGAAGCAGCTGCCCGATGGCTTGGTAGCTCAGGAGATCGAGCCCGAGTCTTCAGAGAGCAGTAGCACTGCCTCAACCGCAGCCACGGATCCTACCGCCGAGCCCGAGACTGAGGCGCCCAGGGAGGCACCATCTGAAGCCCCCGCGCCGCATGATGAGTTGTAAACATCCGCTTGATTTTCGGATTCTGCACGGATGGTTAGCTTGGACTGTGTCGTGTGTACATTAGTTAATCAATATGATGGGAGAAATCTGACCATTGCCAATGACGCTGAGCCACTTCTGGGGTGTATGCTGCCTTCCATGCTCCCACTCATGACTCCATTTCCAAGTCCAACCCGGTGCCTTTCTCTACCGTACCCTCTTGCACCATTTGACGGCCCTTTTCTTTGACCACGCGATCCATAAACTGCCGCACTTGTTTGCATCCATCTACACCAACAGCAAGCATACCCTCCAACCGGCTGACCTGAACACGACTTTCACACACCAGCACAGCAACACGGTCTGTAAGGCCCAGCGTTCCCACTGTCATATACGGCAATTCTTGCTCTTCCTGGGTGTTGAGATCGAGTAGAGGGTCTGCACCATCATCAGCGGCAGCGTATGTGGAGGTCGAGCCCGCGGTGCAAGCAGCAATGTAGTCGGTCATTGGAATACCAGCGTCGATTAGTGCTAGTGTCGAAGCGTTCAGGAGAGCCGCCAGAAGGGAACCGTCCTGCGACAAGACGTGCAGAGAGATGGTGATGCTGCTGTGGGGGAACAGGTGTGTGTGAAGGTTCGCTGAGACAGCTTTGGCAATGGTAGCCTCGAGTTCTTGTGACCGCCTGCAAGGATCGACTGGTTAGCCGAGAGATCAGGCACATAAACATACTCGATGCACTTACTTGTCGTTACGGCCTCGCTTCATACGGTCGACAGAGCTAAAGCCAGCAACAACGAGGTTGACGGTAACGGCAGCCTCCTTGGACTGACCGCCAGCGCCTCCGCGACGCTGAGGCTCAGCAGGTCCCGTAACAACACACATGACCTTTGTGTGGCCCATCTCGAGGTAGCTCGAGCCATCGGCGGCTTCCTGGGTACGGATCTGGGCGTGCAGGCGTCGGAGCTCGTTCCAACGGCGTCCATCGACGCGCAGGAGCGCCATGGAGTAAGTGGAGGTATCGAGAGGCATGATTGTGTGTGTGTGCTGAACTTTGATAACGTAGGTAGAAAAGCGAAGGGAGGGATTGCGGGCGCAGAAAGTTGTGCACAAAGTGTCGCACAAGGTGGGATGTGAGGCTGTTGCGACTGCGACAGAGGGACGGGACAGAACCAAATTTTTGGAAAGCGTCAATCCACCGCCTGCCCTTGGCCGCGCTGGGAAAAGGTGGGATGGTGGGGCCGGGCGGTCGGTGAGACGGCGTCCGGGCCCCGGTCATCTACGTACAAAGCTCGGACCTCTGAACCCCTGGGACCCTGGGCTTCGCATGGCCCGCACTGTCCCTCTCGAATTCGCGGGGAAGCTCTCCCAATTTGATGATGGGAAGACCACAGAGGAGGGAGTCTCGAAACTAAAGAAGTCACATCAGAGTCAGCATGGATTTGCAAGTAGTTTCGTCAACGGCCAGATGCCACCATCACAAGGCTGACTATGATCGGCAGTAATCAAAAACGCGGAGTAGAGAGAGTCAATGCCATGTTGTCTTCTTGTGCTGGAGGTACACTGTATGAGTTCGCATGAACCGCTGAAGAGCGGTTTGATGCGGGAAGTGACATGCAATCACTGCTTTCCAGAATTCCTCATCGTCATCCAATTTAGATTCCACAGCAACATCCAAATCTTACCCATTGCGGTCGTGGATCAATCATCTCAAAGTCAAGAAGCTTGGTACTACTGGTGACCGATATCTTCGTTCTCGTTCCTCGTTATGCTAGTATTACAATCTCGTTGCAGGAGGGATGTTGTCGTCGGTAACCTGGAGCAGCACAATGCTCAACCGAAAAATCCATGCCCGCCTTCATGTCATTGCCATCCTGTCCCAAAAGAAAAGAGCTCAGTTCCATTCGGGAGCTTGCCCAAAGTAAAAGGAAAGTTGACAGTCCACGCCATTTAATTTCAGTAGCTGTTACTCAAGCCATGACCAGTACGCCCATGGTGGACGTGTTGAACTCCGGCGCCGGGGGCACCAGAACCAAGGAGTTGCTTGGCTTGATCTCGTCTTCTTCGGGCCCATCAGTCCATCCTCTCTCAGGGCCCCATCTGATCTTCCGGTTGTTCGCAGATGTCACCTCCAGAAGCGCCCGCATCATTCCACCCGACTTCTTCACACCAGGCCAGGCGTCGAAGTAGACCGTGTCGATCCAGGGCATCTGGTTAAAAACTTCTGTCAGGAGGGACTGGCTGAAACCTTCATAAAAGCCATCCGACCGGCGAAAACCATTGAAGATGCCGTCGCTGGGATCACATTCAACCAAGACCGTCAAGCGACGAACGTTGACGCATTCGTGGAGGCCCAGGGCTGGCGTGACCACCCATCCTCGCGGCGGCTTACTCCAGCCGGGACCGAGGCGAAGCTCCAAGGACGTAATGTACGATCTTGAGCTTGGCTTCATACGAGCCAAAAGCGGTTTCTTGCTTTTGAAGTACTTGCCCGGGTGTGTTGGGAAAATGCGGAACGAGCGGCTGCTGTAAAAGTAATGAGAGACTTCCTGATAGACAGTGCGGCAAGTTCTTTGGATTCCGAGCTTTTTGTGATAGGTCTTGTAGTTATCCGGATCGAGGTCCACGACACCACCGCTGCCTTCAAAATAGTAGTCGTAAATCTTGAGGCGAAGTTCTGATGGCAAAGCCATGAAGGCAAAAGGCTTGGCTTTCCTCCTGGCTGCTCTTCTCTCGCTCAGTGTGAGAGAGCCGATGCTGTCTCCGAGTGCATCTATTTCAACTTCGGAGGCATACGTCGACGGGTAGGCGGAGCTAAGAGGTGTCGTAAGAGTGGACGTAATCGGCGTCGGGTCGAGTGACGAGCCGGCAGCTCTCGATATCTTGCCGCGGCGAACCATTGTGACGGTCAGTAGCTCGGTTTGATATGCGCGATGCTATGGTATCTTGGGTTGTCGAATCCTTTCCAGGTATTCAATGTGTACTCAAGATGTTGAGGTTTTGGTAATGCGCCAACAGTGTTGGTGGATGGAAACGTCGGAAGTGGCGGGGTGGCGGGGCGATTTTTTTCCTCAATGAAGGGTATCTGGTGGTTATGTGCAGAGATTTTGTGTTTAGTTTGTTTAGTTGGTAAAGTTGTTGTAGGTCGACGGCGAGTCTCGCAGAGCGTAGATAATCACAGAGGGTGGTCCCATTGTGATCGTTGATGCGAACTTGGGGACCACCCTCTAGAATTCACCACGCGCGACAGCCATGGTGACGATGGACGGAATTGTGACTGTGCTAGGTTGAGTTGAGTGGTTTGTGTTGGTTTGTCTGTATCTGAGGGGTTCGCCAGATGGTAGGAAATCCGAATCTGTTCTTCGAGGGTTGCAACTGGAGCGAGGTGCGAAGTGGGAGGAGCTGCGTTTGGAAGTACTGGGGGTCTGGCGCAGTTATGAGAGGGGGGGGGCAGCACTCAGGATGGACGGAGAATCGGTGGGCGGTGGTGGATGCAACTCATGCATGAAGGTCACTGCCGGAGGGGACGAAGGACATCGATCGCGCGTCCACCATTCGGACAAGGTTTGCACGTGAGGCGCCTGAAAGGACGTGCGCTTGATTATATAAGCTAGCATGGACTGTGCCCAATCATTGCTGGAGAGAACGAAAGGTGGGGCGACGTCTCCATCGAGAATGACCTCATTCGAGGTACCTTATCCGTACAGTGCCTTACCTAAGGTAAGGAGATGTCTATCGCCGAAAAGTTATCCGGAGAATATTCGGCACCCAGTCGTACCTACCTACCTAGTGGATCAACGTTTTTTGTAGGCACCTCAGGCCTCCCTGTGTCCCCCCCCAGGCCACAGTGGCACCAGCTCCCTGGGGCACCTTCAAGGTTCTGTAGGACAGCCACAGTGAGGTTCCGAGCTCCTCGGGCAAGGCACCGTGCGCCGAACGTGCTGTCATTCGTTCCCCTGGTCAGAAAGTTCAAAGGTGGTCCAGTGCTTCGCTCATCGAAAATTTCTAGTGCCTTCGTCAGGAATATCACCAAACCCACTCCACCACGTCCTCACTCCCCTAGCACCAGTATCTTTCTTCTGTTAGCTGGCGCAAAACGCAACCATCATTCATCAACCCCTGGATCAAGACGACTGTCCAGGCTCGAAGTCATCAATACATAGTCACGTTCACATTAGCCCTTGAGACGCCATGTTGTCAAGGGCAGCTCGCATCGCGCGTCTGCAGCCCACTGCGGCGCAGCTCTACCGCTCTGTCGCAACACCAGCTACGAGGAGACCACAGTTCCTAGCCTCATCATGGACCAGGGGCTTCGCGCAGGACAACAAGCCGAGAGGATCATCTTCAGATAAGCCGATTGACCAGCAAAAGTCTTCCCAATCGACGCCAGAGGAGACCTCGGCGTCGTCAAGTCCCGAATACAAAGCAGCGTACGAGGAGGCTGCCGAAGCTTCATCCAAGACATCCTCAACACAAACTCCCAAATCCGACGCCGAGAATGCCGCCGATCAGACCGAAGCTCCTGAACCTGCCGCACCTACCGGCCCACTGCCCGATCTCACCCAGGGGATCCCCTCCACCCTAGCATACGAGATGTCTGGTGCGGCAAACAAGGCCGCGCTGGCTGCCCTCGCTGAAGAGGAGGCTGTGGCCCAGGGCGGCGGTCGCGGACGTGGCGAGCTCCCCGACTCAGCGTACGTCTCATCAACAGACCGGAAAAGACAGCAGTTTGCGAGTCGCATGTTCCTCGCCTTTGTCGGCTTCGGCGCTGCCGGTGCCGTCTACCTTGGCCGCAACTGGGAAGACAAGGCAGACGAGCTTCGGCACGCCGAGGATGCACCGAACGGCTGGGGATTCGGCGCCTGGTGGAACAGAGTCACCGCCCGTACCGGCGATTTCTTGAACTACTACCAGGAGCCTGCCTTTGAGAAGCTGCTACCTGATCCCGACCCGTCTTTTGAGCGTCCCTACACCCTGTGTATCAGCTTGGAGGATATGCTCGTTCATAGCGAGTGGACCCGCGAGCACGGTTGGAGAGTGGCTAAGCGCCCCGGCGTCGACTACTTCCTGCGTTACTTGAGCCAGTACTACGAGTTGGTTCTCTTTACCAGTGTTCCTTTCGCCATTGGCGAGCCGCTTGTTCGCAAACTCGACCCCTACCGATTCATCATGTGGCCCCTCTACCGCGAGGCGACCAAGTACAAGGATGGTGAAGTTGTCAAGGTTCGTAGAAAACCCCTCAACCATATTCTGTACTACCACTAACTCAGACGCAGGATCTGTCCTACCTCAACCGCGACCTGTCCAAGGTGATCATTATCGACAGCAGCGATAAACACGTCCAGAACCAGCCAGAGAACGCTATCGTTCTTCCCAAGTGGAAGGGCGAGTCCAAGGACAAGGAGCTTGTCAGCCTGATTCCCTTCCTCGAGTACATCCACACTATGCAGTACGGAGATGTTCGCAAGGTCCTCAAGTCCTTCGAGGGCAAGCACATTCCTACCGAGTTTGCTCGCCGCGAGGCGATTGCACGTGCCGAGTTTAACAAGCAGGTGGAGGCCAAGAAGAAGAAGGCGCCTTCAGGCATGGGCTTGCTGGGTGGCATGCTCGGCCTCAAGCCCTCCAACATGGCCTTGATGGTTTCCCCTGATGGTGAACAGAACCCCCACGAGGCTCTCGCCCAGGGCAAGATGCTCCAGGATATCGCCCGCGAGCGCGGCCAGCGCAACTACGAGATGCTCGAGAAGGAGATTCGCGAAAACGGTGAAAAGTGGCTCAAGGAGGAAGCTGCCATGCAGGAGAAGGCCCAGCAGGAAGCCATGCAGAGCATGATGGGCTCCTTCAGCGGATGGTTCGTCAAGGGCGACGAGGCCAATAAGAAGCAGTAAAGAGGGGGTTGCCACGCATAACCAAAACCCTTGGCTAATCAGCACATCTTGTGCATTCCACAAAGACGCATTTTTTCTCTCCTCTTACCAAAACTATCTGTATTTGTATTATCCGGCAAGCTTGGACGGCGAGGAGGCGTTCCAGCTTGCATATAGACTTGACGACGTGGGTCTGCATATGTACGAATCTCTGTATACTACTACACTGCCAGGCCACCTCTATGAGAGAATGGCTCAATCAAGGCTGACGTACCATTATGTGATATATAAAGTCGTGCTGCAATGGAGTCGAGCGACTAGATTAAATTAGAAGCTAGGGGTTCACCCATTCCAATTCCACATTCTTTAGTTGATATCCATCAATTCGTTACTACAAATAAGCCTACGGGCTTCTAGCCTAATATCCGTTGCATATCATCAATCATCGCAGGCCGTGTTACTATTCGCCATCATCGTGTACCTTCAGTGGCCGGTATCCTGATAAACTTTTCCAAATCTCCTCCATTGATCAAATTCCAGCTACGTTACATGACTTTCGTGAGATTGAGAATGTCTATGCTGGGTGTGGGTTCTTCTTCATCCCTACTCTCGCACACTGCTCGCAGATGGGGTTTGTGACGCATTGGAAGAATCTGCCAAAAGGTTAGCGTACAAGAAGTGACTCGATCGGAACACTCTTTTCAGAACTGATAACTGATGAGGACCTCACATACCCATCTCCGTCTTTCCCTTTCAAGTCGTCGCAGCGGCAGGCCAACTGGCAGTAGTGCCACAATGGGTTGAATGGTGGTGTCTTTCCTGCCTCGATAAGAGGGTCTGCTTCGGTGAGTGAGTTGGTGCCTGGCTTCTGTGTGGTAGGCGCGGCTAGGCCATGAGTCGTGAGGAGAGTGAAGAGTGTGAGTTGGAAGAAGCGCATCTTGTGATAATTTTGGGGACCTAGCGATGAGCCCTGTTTCTCGGAACTGTTGATAAACGCTGAATATGAAGTAGTTGTGAAGGCTCAGGCTTATATTGCAATGTTGGTCGATGCAGATGCTCTCAATCCATGTTTTCGACCTCGCCGTTGCTTTGGGTTATATATTTTCTCTCTCCGCCTCAAAGAAAGCACTATTTTCTGTTCTGGGCTTTGACTTTTCAAACCAGTCAAACAGTATCACCGCGAGATCGTTTGCATCAATGTTTGCGGTTCACTCAGGACGAGACTGCGCGATGAAGTACAGGCTGGCACAGCAACAATGGTATCGAGGTAACATTGGTTCCTGGTCTGGTGACGTTTCCTGTGCTTCTCGATAAGCCTCAGACTGCTTCACGACTCGAAAAGCTGCCTGAAACTTGAATATTTCGAGATCGAAAAGGCCCGAGTGAGTTCATGTGATCAAAAAATGAATGCTTTGATTCTTGTCAAATGTCGTGCAAAGGGTGGTACTGGTATAACGGTAATTGATAGCGAAACAGCAACAGAACAACACTTATAGAATCCATCATGAGATCTTTCGCCTTGCTCTTTCCGGTAAGCAGGGCAACCGGCGTCTAGCAAGGGATATACCAATAGGTAGGGAATAAGACAGAAGATGTGCGACAAGACATCCCTTTCACCGTTGTGATAGAGTTGAACTTGCTTCCATGGCCCTTGTACGACGTGACAAGGTCGCGGTTTCGTGGTATTACAGCTACCTGGGCCAGAGTAGCTACTATCGCTTGGAACGTCTCGACATTACGTCCCCATACCTTGCTCTCGTACTGGAATAAGTTGATGTGTTGAACTAGGGGGATACGACGCTGTGCAGGGCTGCCAGATTGCGCTGCGTGCCTGATCTACTGCGAGATGTCTCACCGCCACGTGGTCTCGTGCAAACCTCTACGAGATTCACGATTATCTTGCTACAGCTAAAAATGTGCAGTGCTGCCAAGTGACAGAGAACACGGCATGATCTATTCTACTATCGCAGGCTGCACATATGAGCTGAACGCCTCACCGAATGCCTCACCGCGGAGCTGTTCGGGAAGTGTTGCCTTGGGAGATGTATCGTGAAACATAGGGCAAGGGGCAGCTGCTCGGTCATTCGCGACTGATGCAAGATATCGGTGACAGGTTGGGGGTACGAGGCCAAGATTCTATCAACAATAGCGCCGCCCTTATACTTATTGTATCGCTAAGGCGATGGATGGGCACTGCCAGCTGTTGCCATCGCAACGAAAAGGACAGACATAATATCATAGCATGCCAGATGGAAATTGCACGATGGTGCCAGTAATGCTACCAAATGAGATTGTATACTAGAAATGAGACAAGGCTTTTCCTGGCCGGGTATTTGAGCAAGATTATTACTGTTTGGCCTCCCCGTTTTGAACCATCTTCTTTTCCACCGGGACTGGTGCTGGTGCTGGTGCTGCAACGGAGGCACTGCTTGTTGCTGTCACGACTAGGACGCCATAAGCAACAAGTGCCACGACCGCAATGAGGTCGATGATGTGGACGAACCACCAAAAGTGCTGGGTACCCAAGGCGCAGGTTGCATATTCAAATTGCCAGGTCCATGTGGTCTCGTCAAACCAGGCGCTGAGCAGACCCGCGTTTCCGCCAAAGTCGCCCATCATGCTCCTGACTGTGATCTCCCTCAGCCCCGGAGCACCAGCTGCACCGACTGCGCCGCGGCCCTTTGCTGTCGGCCAAGTTTCGACCTCCCATGACCGATCTTGCTGGTCTGGTTTCGTCTGGTTGATGTAGTGGTACGTGTCACAGCCCTCGTGATCGTGGCCGTTCAAGATGACGCCGCGGCGACCTTTGCCGTTGCCGGGCGCCTCCGTGTTACCGCTCATGCCAAAGATGCCCTCGAGGAAGCCCTTGCTGGCATCAGCCGAGAGCAGGTTCTGCTCCTTGACTCCACCACCGTCGTGGTCGCCGTGGAAGTCGAAGAAGGGCGCATCGACGCAAACACCTTCAGGCTTGTACAACGGGATGTGAGTCAGCACGACGGTGAAATGACCGCTGTATTCTACCGCTGCCGAAGTCTCAATGACTGCGTTGATGAACGCATATGTGTCGTCTTGTAGAGACGTGTCTTTGGCCGGAGTATCCAGATTCATGTCGTTCAGGACAATGACGCGAATCTCTGGGGGTAGGCGATCGGACTCGGGATTTTGCTCGTCGTCCACGATGGTGGCGTTGAGTTTCGGGTCTTGGATCGGCAGCTCGAAGCGTAGCTCGTAGTTTGCCTTGCCAAAGAGGCGCTCGAATCGGCCAAAGCGGTCCTGGTTGATGTCGCCGGCGTAACCAATGTCGTGATTGCCGGCCACGTTGATGACACGGCGCGGCCACACAGCAGAGGGCTCACCAGAGACGGAAAGGTAGTCGGTGAGGTCATATTCCATGGCCGGGAACACGGCGGCTTCGTCTGGAACCCTCTCGGCCCCTCGCACCACGCGATCCCAGTACCGACGGCCGCGGCGCCGGAATTCTTCAATGCCAATCCACTGGCTGCCCAAGAGGTCCCCAAGCACGGTAACATGAGTAGGGCGTGTCCACCAGTGTACCGTTCGGAAGATATGCGCCAGGTAAAAGTCGTTGCCAAACAGGTCTATCCGTTTGCGAATGGATTCGAGCTCGTCAAAGACGTCCTCCCAGAAGATATCGACAATGTCGTGCAGAGAGTGACGAATGCGCTGGCGCAACGAGTGACTCGACCCAAAGGTCACATGGGACCATAGACTTCTCGCATGAGGGAAGATGGGCCCATCGTGCTTTCGAATGGACGTGTCGCCCTCGAGCTGGGGGTCACCAAGCGCGAGAAGGCGAAATGGCGCGGGGCGAGCTTCGCTTGATCGGAGGGGAATTGGGAGAGGAATATGTTGTCGCGCAGCCTCGAGAAAAGCAGCGGCACTGCTGTCGGCAACGTGGCTCGGACTCGTCGATACGCTGCCGGTCGGAGCGACAGGGAACGCGCATCCCAAGAAGACGGGATAGAGATAGAGGTAAAATGTTGAGATTACCGCCAGCGGCAGCAGGAGGCGGAGGCCATGGCGGAGGAGGGCCACGAGGGACATGTAGACGGCAGCATGAAGCAGAAGTCGATGACTCTGCTGCAAGCTGTTTTTGTTGTCGAACCTCCTTGTTGTGAAGAGAGAAGTGAAGCACAACAAGGAAAAATTAGTTTAGTCGTATGAATACAGTCGAGACGGAAAGAAAAAAACAACAACAGCCTCTCCTGTTTCGTCCAGCTTTCCGTCGCAATTTGCGTCCGGGGGGTGACATGGGACGGAATATGTGTGGAAAAGGGGTCCAAATGGATACAGCGACAGCAATCCTGGCCAGGGCGTCAGGTACACCGTACTGTGTCTAGGCCCCCGGGGTGTGGTGGAGACCACCTGCTGTGTCCGGGTCCAGGCCACCGACGTCATTTGTTCCAGGTACTGCTCCAACTGTGGTTTCTTACCTCGATGCGATGCCATGTGCGATGAATGCATCTTCCTACCAATAGCGGTTCAATTACACATTGGGTGTTCTTTGAGTAACAACAAAGCCACTAGAAGCCCAAAGATAATGGTATTGGCACTTATAAGTCCGCAATTCTGAAGGCTAGCGCTTTTTGCCCCAAGGTCTTTTCAGATGTGGGAGCCATCATGGACTGTCTTAGGTAGCCTACCTACTAACTAGAACACAAGCTTGTTCCCATGCCCAGTATATTTTGGGCCATCGATCGACTATCTATGAGTATTAATCAGCCAAGGCGGTATCTTTTATCGCCTGGTACTCATGCATCTGTACAGGCAGATGTTGTTGTGTGTCTGTGAAAGGCCACTCCTTTCAAATTTGACGCGCATAGTTCATAATTCTGTGATCCCATCGCCCAACGCCATGCATGCATCGTTCTTGGAATCCCAAATGCCATCATCCATCATGCGTCAGACCCCATGCCCTCTTCGTCTTCCATCTCATCGTCCAGAGTCGGTATGTCGACCAAGAACTCTGGCTCATCTGTATCAAACGAGAATGCGACAATGCAATTATCTTTGAAGCCCTTGCCAACTGGCGTATCGCTGTCAGAGACCTTGACATTCTTCCACCCTTGAGTCAAATCGGTGGCATTGACGGGCAAGGCATAAGCCAGTTGTACGTCGCCCTTAGGAACGGCGGTCGTCTCGGGGGAAGTGTGGTTGATTGTAAGGCCGTCGGGAAAGCGGTCGCGAAGCACCTCGAGCAGTGATGTGGTTACTTCGGAGAATTTCTGTTGACCATCGACAAACATCAAGATGGTGTGGGCACCGTACTTGAAGCGCACCGAGAAGAAGGTCTCGTCGATCTGCTGAGAAAGAGTGTTAGGCAAGGTAGCCAGCTACGCTACATAAGATCATTATGTTCGTACCATCTTTGCAAAACAGGGGTTGCCTTGGATCAAGTGTACTCGTTCTACCCTGGGCGAAATTCAAGGCAGGTCGTGTTGTTGGAGGCGACGATGGGATGTCGCAAACCAAGATGTTGGCTGGGGATCGTCGCTGGGTGCAGGATTAGGTGAGGCAAGATAGGAACTGTAAGGTACCTTAAGCCTTAAGGTAAGCAGCGGGGAAGTCGCGACGGTCGACGGAGCTCGGGAACGCGGGGCACCTTGCCCAATGCGAAATCACATGACTTCGTGTTTTGTGTTCTGAGATGGCCCAAGCTCCCTGGAGCTGACGGATCACGGACTTCTGCGCCCAAGGTGAGCAGATTGGCGGTGCATCCCGGTCTCCGTCGCCAAAGTCTTCAATCGCCAACAGCCACAAGCTGTCCGTTCCTCCCAGATGCCTGAATACGCCAACGAAACCCATCAAACACAACGCGATACCAATTATCCTCCAAATATCGACCCCACCATGGCCGACCGCCCTCAGATGACGTTGGCCGAGAGCCTCAGTTTCGGCCAGAAGCCTACCGAGGCTCGCCTCTCCATCCCGACACCAGCACGTATCCCGCTCGCAGGACTCATTGGCTTTGGTATCGGAACTACTCTGGGTCTCGCCCATGGAGGTCGCATAGCTCAGCTGCGCTTCCGCGCTGAGCACGCTCACAAGATGCCAACGACGACGACCGGGTGGTACCTCTACCACAAGAGCAAGAACTACCACACCATGTATGGCGGCCTGAGGGAAGGCTTGACCATGGGAGCCAGACTCAGTTTCTGGACCCTCATGGCATTTGGCTTGGAGAGCACCATTGACCGGTATCGAGGCCAGAGCGATCTCATCAGTACCGTCTCCGCCAGTCTGACTGTGGCCGGTACTTTCAGTCTGTGGAGTATGTCAACTCCATCCCACGCATACATACGCATGAATGCGCGTACTAACATGTCTTCTTCACTCTAGATCGTTTCTCTCTTCCCACGGCAGCTCGCACAGCAAGATATGGTCTCCTGTTCGGACTGATATACGGTGGATTGCAAGACGCGGTTGGCCTCGCTCGCGGTCGTCCCATTGGCTACGTCGAATCTCTACGCCGGCATTTTGGATCTGACAAGGCACCGAAGGCTGATCAGCCTCAGAGTGGTTGATCTAGGGCCCTCTCTCGAGGAAGACATCTCACTGCAACAATCAATCTTCCAGGTGCTGCGCAACCACGGATGATTGGGTACGCCGTGTATCGCCAAGCCAGGCTTGCGTGAAGGAGAATGCCCGGAACCTGGCGCGTGACCTCTGCATTGCGAAGGAGAAGGTGCCCGCATGCCATTGCGCCGCCCGGTTCGACATGGTCCGGCTGGCCCTATGCCGCGCGGAACTGAGACAGTCTACTACAGGACACCTCTCATCCCCGTACCTTAGGCCTGCCCAAGTACCCAGAACCTGGCAATCAACCAGATAGCTGACGGCAGATCAAAAGTCACAAACACTGGAATGTTCGAGTCGCAGGATATCCTGGTTGCATCGAGCCTATCTACACGGAATCCAATTGCACTGCCATCACAGGCCATGGCTATTCGCCAATGGAGGCATTGCAGATTGTACTGCATCATCGCCAGGGTCCGTCCGAACGCTCCGCCTCCGCATCCGGCTACAGTCGGCTGTCTCTCCGTGGCACAGGATCTCCATGTGACGGGTCTGTGGTAGGAGATAACGGGCTTGGTTTAACCTGGCCAGAGCCATCGTTGGCTATCTGACCGGCCTCGGCGAACAGCACTACATTATCCTCTTGGCCATTGACCTTGGCCTACCTGAGATAACGATACAGTCCGTGAGACGGCTCTAGAACTGTCTGTGGGTTCAGACGCCGTGCGAAAAACCCTCGATAAAGGTCGTGTCATGTGTAGGATCGCTGAGTTCATTACCTACCTTATGATACCGATATTCCATATCACAGAGTAAATAGCTATTCATCAATCGAACCTGGCTTAGAACCAAGCAACCACCACTCTTCTCTCCTCAATTACCAAGCTGTACTCCTTCAATCTCTCTCATCATTCTGTCTCTGAACATTGCATTTACCAAGGTATTCTAAGCCTTAGTTTCTACAAAGGGCGCGCTTACCTTGCGGCCCTTGAGCTGCGGTCATGTTTGCACCTACTCAACAACACAGCATTGCTCTTAGGAGAAGATCATTGCTTGCCGTCTTCCTCTCGTCCGCTTCACGCGCTCGAATGCGGCAATATGGCAGTTTCCCTTCTATGAGGACACCGGATAGATTCCTCCATTCGTCTACGAGGCGGCCTTTGTCCAATGATCAGCTCTTGAACGCGGACACAACACCTACACACTTGGCACTCGAACCTAAAACGCCATCATCAGCAACATCATCCTCATCACCATCACCACCGATGGGCCCGCCAGCACCCCTATCCATCCTTCCTCTCCACGTAATCGTCCGCTCCCTACTGACATCAACGATATCCTCCTCGCCTATCCTTCTTCCGCCCTCGCTATGGCTAATGTCCGTCCTTGCGCACACCACCAACCCGCTACTCAACCCAGACAAGAACCCGCTCTTACGCTTCGTCCTTAAGAATACATTTTACGCACAGTTTTGCGCCGGTGAAACCCCAGCCGAAGTTGGTCGAACCGTCAAGGGTCTCAAAGACATTGGGTTCTCGGGTGTCATACTGGGATACGCAAAGGAGGTTGTCTTGGTCGACGCCCAGAAAAAGAAATTGGGTGCATGCAGCAAAGGCAAGATTGCTGAAGAGTGTATTCGCGACGAGATCATCCCTTGGGCCAGAGGTACCTTGGAGACGGTACAGTTGGCAGAACCAGGAGACTTTGTTGCTCTCAAGTAAGACCCTTGTTTTCATTTCTCAGCCTTGACCCTTCCACCATGGCTACTAAATGTTTTGACAGATTCACTGGAGCCGGCCGTCAAGCACTACATTCTCTCGCAGAACGTCTGCCACCTTCTGCTGCCTTGACCGACGCCATCAACTCCATCTGCTCTCTCGCTGCCAAGCGTGGTGTTCGCCTCCTATTCGACGCTGAACAGGCCTCCCTGCAACCTGGTATCGATGACTGGACCATGGAGTACATGCGAAAATACAATACAGCCCCTGGGCAAGCCCTCGTCTACGGGACGTATCAGGCGTACCTCAAGTCAACCCCAGAGACTCTCTCGAGACATCTTCGAGTCGCGAGAGAAGAAGGCTTCACCTTGGGCGTAAAGCTTGTGCGCGGTGCCTACATTGGATCCGACCCGAGACACCTCATCTACAAAACGAAAGAAGGCACGGATACCTGCTACGATGGTATTGCCGAGAGTCTCCTCAAGAAGCAATGGGGAAATTTCTTGCAGGGCGACCTCCAAATGCCCCCCATTAGCTTGGTCATTGCTTCCCACAATGTCAAATCCATCAAGCGGGCTCGAGAAATTTGTACCAACGGGTACGCCAATATCGACGTAGTCTTTGCACAGTTGCAAGGCATGGCGGACGAAGTGAGCTGCGAGCTAGTCTGCCCAATTGGTTCAGGCGATGTGCGGGAACAGAGACGAGCAGAGTCCAAGGCCGTCGAGGCGTACAAATATCTCGTTTGGGGGTCGACTGGAGAATGCATGAAGTATCTCTTGCGAAGGGCACATGAAAATCGTGACGCGGTGCAGCGAACGCGGAGTGGACGCAATGCGATGTTCAGTGAATTGGTGAGGAGGATGAAGAGTAGTATTGGGGTATCCGTCTAAATTGACGCGCTTTTTTGGAATTCGAAATCGCTCGGGCTGCGGGAAGTTGGATCCTAGGTACCAGGTTAGATATTCCTTGAAACCTAGAGCACAGCAATCATGACTATATGACTTACGACAAATCCAGCAAAAGAATAGGGGCGGTTCTCCTGTACGCACGTAGAGGCATGTGCCGGCGTAGTTTGACACTTTATGCGGTGCGCAATGCCATTGCACCCAGTACCAGAGTCTCCAGCTGTTCTCTGCGCTCTGCTTCATCCTTGATGGCGTCGAGCCATGCGAGACCGTTTAACTTGTAGTACTTGCGCACCTTGGCCCAATCTGTCGATGTCGAGATGGATTCGTCCGTGAACGGGGTCGGGGTACCCTGGAAGTTGTTCTTGAGATGTTGCTCGACGTCTTGGGCAGAGGGGGGGCCGTTCGGGGAGGTGATCTTGACGACGATCACGTCCTTGGTCGACGGGCTGATACCATAGCGACGGTAGGCTTCAGCGATCTGATTACCGGTTAGTATCTGGGACCAAAGTACGTGAAACTCAATTCTTGGAGTGCAAGACAAGTCGCCATACATTGTTGGCAGAGCTGAGGGATGCGACGAGCTCGGAGTGAACGTTTGGGGTCTTCAGGCTGCCGTCAACCTTTGCGGTCACAGCCTTGAAGGCTGCAGCGAGGATATGGGTTCGGGAGACGGCCTGTAGAAGTGCATGATTAGTGGTCAATCCCGGCGGCTGATTTTTAGTGTAGACGAGCAGTGTGTCATACCACGGACGCATCGATCAGTGCGTACTCAAAGTCTGCGTTGCGGTCGAGGAGCTGTTGGTGCAAAAAGGCAGCATTCTGGATATCCTTGAAGAAAGTAACATGAACGACATGATCGGCAGGCACGTGATCGATAGGTATGGTTTCAATGATGGAGGACGACATGTTGGCTGCTACAGCAGATGGAGACACAAAGCTGTCAAGAATAAAACGGGAAGACGGATGGGCGCGGAGCTGTGCGTGCCGGTGTTGGGAAGCAGAGGTTTCTGGTCTGGACGAAAAGTATCGCGGGGTAAAACTTGGGAAGACTGAATTTCAGAGGTGCCGCCGTCTAGTGTGTTGAAGTTTGTTATCGAGCGCACGATAAACTTGGAGGGGCACTGCGCAATGGCGGGGTTCCTTGCCATGACATGAGGTGACCACGTCAGAATTACAGACAGCGCTTTAGCTGGGCCCACTTGCCTTATTACTGAGGTGTTTGCCGCAATTCAGGGCATCTCATTCTCACATCACTGCACGATTCAAGGCCTCCTCATCCTCGTCCTCACTCACCCACTCACTCACTTACTGAACTTACGCAATGACTTACTCATTTATTCCCAGATACTCATTGATCCTCTTATTCAGTGAGTTGTAAGCCCCTCAACCCCTGACCCAAGTGTGTTTTTCATTCCTCTGTCAAATTGCATCTCCCCTCCCCACTCCGGCCCTAGCTAGTGTGTCTTTTCCCTCTTTCTCTTAGCTTGCATCACACGTGCAAGGGACTACTACGATCTCCCTCAAGGCTAAGAACCTTATTGAAGCCCTACTGCCTCTTGTTTAGTTGTAGTTTGTTGTTTGTTCACTAGTTGATCCGGTAAAACCCCCCGCGTCCTAGCAGCCTTACAAGTCAGAGTTTCCGCATAATACATCACCTGAGGTATAGCCTTTGCGCTTCTTTTATTTTCAGAGTCTAGTTGATGCTTGTTTTGCTGCGGAAGTTGCATTTTAGATTGCCAACTTACTCGGTAGCCAGTTTCGTTCTCGCTACTCTGCTCCATGCCCAGGCGCAAGGGCAAGTGCAAGAATGGGCACCGGCATTGTTTAGTCCCTGATGTGCTGTGTAGACCGGAAGGGGCTCCGGACAGTTATATCCGTTCAAGATCCAATCAGGCCCGAACAAGTGACACGAATGAATCCGAACAAGGTGAATAAAGTGAATTTGAGTCATTTTGCATTGGTGAGCCACGCGCAAGTTCCACCACCGTTCTGGACAAAGCAGTTTTGGCATTTGTTGAAGCACACATGTATCACTTGGCAATATTCTCATCTTCGACCCAACTTGCCGTCCAGGAACGTTTTTGCAACGGGCATGTCAGTTGGCCCAACTCTTCGGACGCATCGACCTCTGGCATGGGCCTCATCATCCCCGGCAGCTCTGCTGTGACGCGGCACCCATGGGGTGGGTGAAACTGTGTTTCCGATGTTGATTAGGCCAGGCTGCTCGTCTCCGCGATTCAGCCATCAATAGGACATCAATCATGGCAATGTGCACGCGCCATGGAAGCGGTGACATCTGAGCTTGGGCGATACTGTCATACACATAGACATCTGGACGTGCTGTTGAAAGCCGTCATCGAAAAGGAATACCTCCTAAGGCCTGGCACTTCGTTTCTGGGCTGTGTGTGCATCCTTTCATGAAGAGAGTGAGGGCAGTCAGCTTACTCGAAGAAGAGATGTTGAGCACGATTCCATATTCTCGGATTGACTTGCCGTAGGGCGTCTGGCTAATTAAGACGCGTCTCATGTCGACTAAGCAGAGGTTATCTGAATTCGGGACGGTACAGGTAGATAATCACATCCCACAGCCATATCCGAGTGCCTGGTCCCGTTACAAGGTTTCAATGACTTTTCTCGGCGGCGTTGCCGCGTAGTTTACGGACGGGGAAAGACTTGCCGCAAGCTGAGCACGATTGGGTGGCACTTCAGCCGACATGTTCGCGGCAAAGGCACAAAGGAGGCACCTGGGCTCCCTTTGAAGGACCCGATCACGACAGGCTAGACGACGCTTAAAGGTCTAGTGAGACATAGGCAGGGCACCATCATGGCAGAGGGACTCATGAACACAAGGGTCTCTCCACGGTGAAGGAGGGTCGGTTGCAAGCGTGTCGAGCTGGTGGTAGGACAACAACGGACAGACTGAGTCTGGACGGATACTCTCGCGGGCTAGACTTTGAAATGTAATACATTCGCACTCATTTTGGTATTAGTCTACGGACTTGGCCCGGGCACTAGAACCTTGGAACACTGGGATCTCTCGTTCTCGTCCATTGTCGGCCGACGCCCGAATGCGCCACCTCATCGCTCATCGAATCTCATCGACTCGATTGCCCTTGGACCCAATCTTGAACCCAAACAAACTTGAACTTGTACGCTTGGCCTGGCATGCTTAGCTCAGAGATGCCCATCCTCCTTCCTGGTCTGTCTGTTTCACTCACTAGAAATTTCCTGGGGGCTTGTTGTTGAAAGTTGAGTAGTCCAGCATCTTCTGTCTCATATCTCATCACAAACTATACCACTCTTACATCTTCTTTACAGACAACGGATGTCTAGTATCTGGGTCAATAGATTGCATGCCCTTTACACTTGAACTGAGAAGACCTACAACTTGCCGTTGAAGTTCACGAAGATTCAGCACTATCACTCATCCAATCTTACCAAGTCTCACTTCAGCCAGTGTCCTGACACCACACCTCTCACTCAACCTATGCCTTCCAAGTCTACTGGAATGCGTTATCAGCCAGCCTGATTGGGAGTTAAGGTCTCATCAGTAGATCTAGAGCCTTGCTTCTAGACCGGCCGCGCGTGTCAAGCGTCAAGCTAATTAAGTGTCAGGCGTTCTTGGAATCGGCACGCACAATTCTTGGTGAACAGGTCAAGTGCGTCTCAGATTCTCAGTGAGTGAATTCAAGCTCAGTGAAGAAAGGTCCCTCACAGGCTCAATTACGGGTAGTGTGGCCTAGAACCCGCCCGCCTTGCCGCCCTCCCGCATCCCGACAGGTTGGGACTTGGGTTGGAGCACCTCACCCCCAGTAGGTACGTTTGCGTTTGCATTCGCGATCAGCTCCCGTGCCCCCGGTTTCTCGACTGCGTCCAGTACCTTCCTTGCCTTAGGTACTGCGTAGGTCCCTTACTGGTCTTTCCCCCCTGGCACTGGATGCTTCCTCCTCCCCCCTCCCTTCCCCGGCTCTCCTTCCGGTACCTCAGTAGCGCACAGCTCTCCTAAAAACGCGGCAACCTCCATCATCCACGGCAATCCCCGTCGCGACTTTCTTCCCGACCCGCGCGTCCCCAGTGACACTCTATCCTTCGCTACAATTTTGCGCCAACCTCGAAATACGATTTCTTACCGAAAGAGGAGAGGAAGAAGAAGAAGAGGGAGAGAAAACAATAGACCATGCCGGGTCGCCCACCCAAGCGACCGGCAGAAGCTGGCGATGCAGCTACTCCCGCCGACGATGTCGCCTCCACACCTGCGCCCAAGGTGAAGCTGCCGAGACTCGACAAGGGCGGCCAAGAAGACTTCTCGTCCGTTGTCAAGAATCGCCTGTCGTCTTACACGAGGACCGGTCAGGCCTGCGACAGATGCAAGGTGAGTCTTGACTGTCCTCCTTGAGTTCGTACTGAGCTTTTCACGATACTACATCGCCTCATTATCACGTTCTCGTTCGCATCTTTTGCCTTTCCGTCCTAACCCTCGTGACAATGAACTTTAGGTCAGGAAAATTCGATGCGATGCCCTTCCCGAAGGATGCTCCCACTGCATCAGCCAGAATCTCGACTGCTTCGTTACCGATCGCGTCACCGGCCGAACCGAAAGAAGAGGCTACCTCCAAGAGCTCGAAAGGGAAAAGACCGACATGATGAACCACATTCGCGAACTCGAGAAGCTGCTCGAGAATAACGGCACCGAGGTCAAACCGTACCAATGGTCCCCATACGCCATCAACTACCCGACTCCTGGCGCAACCTATGACCACATGGGCAACGCCGTCGAAGACCCCAACGAGAAGGATGCCTGGACCAAGGTCGGTTCCGTCTGGGTCAAGAACTACAACTACAAACCTGCCGGTGGTCGCTCGTTCCCTCGATCAACGCTCGAGTCACGTCCCGTCCACAATCATCTGGGCGTTGGTTCTGACAACGCGCCCCTCAGCTCAATCAAGGGCACTCAGCTGTCCATTCTAGGAACGACAATCGACGTCACCTCTTTCGATGCCCCCGATATCGACGAGCCGATACCAGACGCCAAGGATGCGCAGCCTCTGTACAACAAGTCTCTACAATCATTCCTCCAGTCCAGCATGAACGTCAATCCTACAGTTAATATCGAGCTTCCTTCAAGGAGCGACGCTTTCACTTATTCTGAATGGTACTTTCTCATGATTTGGCCTTTTCTGCCAGTCCTGCACAAGCCTAGCTTCATGAACATAGTAAGTGGGCCAATTTCTATCCAATCTTATCACCGCTGACCATCTACAGCTTACCCGTATGTACGACGAACCCGGCTTCGAAGCAAGTGTGCCTGACCAGGTCATGGTACACATGGTTTTTGCGACCATTTACTTCCAATACGGCGTGCGAAACTGGGAGCAGCAGGAAACACGATCCCAACTCAACGAACTGTCCAACAAGCACTATCACTACGCTCTGAGCAAGATGTTTGACTTGGCATCCTCGCAATCAGTGGCAGCGGTTCAGGCCATGGCGATGATCTGCGCTCACAGTCGTAGCTTCCCCAAGCCAGGGTGCGGATCCATGGTCACCAACTTTGCCTTCCACCGCGCCATCGACCTAAATATGCACCGCGCCATGAAGGGGCCAGGCGAGACGACGAATCTCGAGAACGAGATCCGTAAGCGCACTTGGTGGACCATTCTTCTCGTCTATGTCACCCTGAACGGGCGCCTTGGGCGGCCTATGCCTATCACGGTTGAGGAGTACGATGTCGAGTTTCCCGAGCCGATCGCCGACGAGGCCCTGACACCAGACGGCGTCGACCCCTCGGTAACCACGCCGTGTACGTATCACGTTGGGCTGGCAGGCTTCAAGATCTTGCCATTATTCATGGAGATGTACTCCAACATCTACAGTGTCAAGCGCGACCCTAAGAATTACGTTGATGTTGTCAACTCTCTAGAAGAGCAGCTTCGTCTCTGGAAGGAAAACCTCCCCGAATCGCTCCAAATCAACCCAGGGCAAACTGAGCATGAAGGCCGTATGTATGCCCTGTACATACAGATGTACGCCCTTGAGCTTCGATTGTGTCTACGCCATCCATCCGTGGCCATGACCACCGACCGCAAGTTTCTCCTCGAGAATGCCCGCATATGCGAAGAAACTGCTGCGCACATGCTCAATGCTGTCAAGAGCCTCGTGAAGCTGAAGTCTCTCGATACTACGTGGTACCAAATGGCTGTCTACGGTGCCGCCATTTTCACCACATTGGTTGCCCATTGGGAACGAAGGTTCGAGGCAACGCCTAACCAGATTGCAAACCTTCGAGAGGAGATGAAGGATTGGATGGAGATCATCAATGCCACTGTCTCGCTACTGGGTAAGTCCTATCCTGGATATGTGAATCAAAACTTTGAGACTAACCGCACAAATCCAGGAACTGGCGCGCGTATCAGTAACGAAATCAGTGTCATTATCGAAAGGACAATCAGCTGGATTGAACACGACCAAAAACAAAGAGACTCGTCGTCCCTTCCCCCAGCGATCAAGACCGAACCATCAACGGCAGAGGCGTCACCTTTTCAGCTTACTTCCCAGCCTCAAGCAGCGCAGGCCCTAGCCGCAAGTGCCGACGAAGTGGCCACGAAGGCATTCTACCCTGACGCGGAGGATCAGAATGGGACAACTCCATACCCTTCGCTAGCTTACACCGAGCAACCACCAAGCAACAACACCATGGCATCGACGAGTAATTTTGAGGTAAACAACGGATACGCGTATACGCCTGCGGCGACGCAGCCCACAAACGGGGAGGACAACACGGCTGAGACCAATCCACTGATTGCGTTCGCATCCCAAGCCACTCAACACGTTGCAGACCCGGCCGGCTCTGCGGCTGCGGCGGAGCTCCTCTGGAGACAATCAGCGTCACAAGGGAATACCTGGCACGACTGGACAGCGGCAATGGCAGACAGCCAAGATAGATACAGCGCTAATGCCCTGTTGACCCTGGGCGGCGGGTCTAGGGATCCGACTGCTGTGACTGAGGCGGCGACGGCGGCCGATATGGCTTCTGTCACAGCTCCCGTCGGCCAATGGCCGCTCATCATCTTTGACGGCGCGGGAGCTCCAGGAGGACAGTAGACAGAAGTTTCTGTTCTGACGTCCATGTTTACACTTGCAAGCGTTTTTTGATATGTTTCTCTCGTTCATATATTATCATGGAGCTACTTTAGGCGTCTACTCGGGGTCTCTTTTCCAGACCAGACAACATGCTGCGGCTCAGCAATGGGGGTAAAAGGATAGGGGACTATGGACACGAGTCGAATGGTTCGACTTGGTATCCGGGGGCAATCCAAACGACCCCGATGGGTTTCGGCGTTTCATGGTTCATTCCAGCAGCGATCGTTGCATGATGTAGACCCAGCAATACCCGGCTGCAAGCAAACAATATGCAGCGTTTTATAGGCGTAATTTCAATGGTGCTATCTCTCTCAAGACTTCATGTGGTCCTATAAAGACTTGCGAACTACACGGTGACTCTTAAGCAATACTACCCGGAGCTTTTTCGCGGCGATGAACCTACTATATCCTAATAAGTTGCGCATTAAAGGGTTCTATTACAGTACCAGCGTGAAGAGATACGTATACGCTAGTACACACCATTAAAGGGAAATCACATATAGAGATGTTTTGTAAGGGTGGCCTTTTCTACGCACGTAATGCACACAATGAAATAACACCAAATACCTATAGAGTGGAGGCCGAATGTCATCTAGGGGAAGCAGGGCAGAACCTAGACTTATATGGCATCTCGTGAATGTTAAGGACTATCGCTCGCAGCCTAGGGCTTGTAAGGCCTGGCTGTGGAATTCACTTGGCGAGTAAGCATTATGGTGAATTCAAAATTTTGTCAAGTTATGATCATAGGCCTTTGCCGTGTGTGGCTTTGGTCTCAAAAGATTGGTATCAAATGGCACAACTAGGTGCGTAAGGGTCACTTCCCATTACGCATTTCAACCCCTTTCTAAATCTCATCTAAGATCAAATCCGCTTGCAACTTTCCGTCATTTGACATTATGGCATCTCCTTACAAATCAAATCATCATGTCTCCTTCCGAACATGACCGCCTAGGCCGACTCCTTGCGGACGTGGGCGTGGGCGGGGTTGGTAGACTCGACCTGAATCTCGGCCGGGGAGCCCTTGGTCTCGCTCACGTTGTCGTGGTTCAAGTTCTTGTCAGAATCGTAATCGGTGACACCGAACAGAGCATCCATGTGCTCGAGGGAGATACCCTTGGTCTCGGGGACGAAGAACCAGACGAAGAAGAACATGGAGAAACAGAAGCTTCCGAAGATGAGGTAGGTTCTGTCACAATGTTAGCTGGATGTCAATCTGATGAAAGAAGTATGAGCAGCAATTCTCTTACCCGTAGCCGTGATCACCGACAGTAGCCAGCATGTTAGGGACAGTACGGGCAACGATGAGGTTGAAGAGCCACTGGGTGGCGGCAGCAAGAGCGACATTCTGGGAACGAAGACGAGCTGCCGGGATTTCAGAGGCGTAAATCCAGCAGGCCGGACCCCAACCAAATTGGAAGAATGCGGCGAACAGGAAGATGGCGACTAGAGCCATGTAGCCAGCACCTGGCACAGGCTGTCCGGCAATGGGCGGGGAGATGCGGACGTAGAGACCAATGTAGAACATGCAGCAGCCTTGGGCGATTGACGTCCAGAGAAGCGAGCGACGACGGCCAAGAGAGTCGGCCATGAAGAGCAAGAAGCAGATGCAGGCAAGAACCTTGACGATTCCGTAGACACCAGTTGACAGAAGAGGCGTGGAGCGACCGGTGACACCGAGGTTCTTGAAGATGGTAGGGGCGTAAGTGTTGATAGCGTTGGTTCCCGTCATTTGCTGGCAGATCATGAGGAAGATGGAGATGAGAGCACGGTTGCGGTTGCCCTTGATGGTCCACATCTCCTTTTGCAGGTTCTTGAAGGTGGCGTTGCCAATGAGCTGTCTCTCATGTTGGAGCTGGTCAACAATCTCCTGGAACTCATCTTCGAGGTAGGGGTGGTTTTCGGGCAGGTTGCGAAGGGTGGAGAGAATCTTCTTGGCTTCTTCCCACTTGTCCTGGCGGGCCAGCCATCTGGGAGATTCGTTGCAGAAGAGCATGCAGATGAGAAGCATCAGACTGGGCAGGCCCTGGATGGCGAGAGGGAAGATGTACATGGTCTTTCCCGTCAAGTTGACCTCGGCGCCGTAGTTGATCCAGAAGGCAATCATACCTCCTGTGACGATGAATAGTTGGTACATGCCAGTGAGGAGACCACGGATGGCACGAGGCGCGTTTTCGGAGACGTAGAGAGGGTTGATGGAAGAGGCACCGCCGACACCGAGACCTGCGATGAAGCGACCGACGAAGATGGCAGCGATTCTACCGGAAGAGACAGCCTGGAGGACAACGCCGACGAGGATGATGGCAGCGACAGTAACGAGACACCACTTGCGACCAAATCGGTCCGTCATGGGGGAGGCGAGAAGAGCACCGACCAAGCATCCGGCTTGAAGAGTGGACACAATGTTACCAGTCAAGTTGGCGGTTTCTACGGGGTTGGCATCCTTGAGTCCGTAGTCGCTATGGGTGGATAAGTCAGTTTTGCTGATACTTGATGAATTGTGCTTTTGTGGTCGTCACTCACTTCTTAAAGGGCTCCATGACAACGACACCACCAATGACGGAACTATCCCAGCCGAATGACATGGCGCCGAAGCAGGCAGAGGCGGCGAGTGCGAAGACTCTCCAGCCGTAGATCTCTGCGGGGTCCGTCTCCATGGACTCATTGTGGACGATCTTCTTGAGAATCTTTTGCATTGTCGTCATGTTGGGCGGTTGGTTTCTCTACAACACGGCCAGGCTCTGGCGGGGTTGGTGTTGCTATCGCAGTTGAATGGCTGTTGGCCGATGTGACACGACACCCTGTGATGGTTGAGTCTCGAGCCAAGGGGAGTCGGCTCAAGATGTGAGGAGGGATGGGTGATGGGCTGAAGACTGAATGAGGAGACGGAGCGACGAAGAGAAGAAAACGAGGGTTAGAGGGTGTGGGCTGGCGGCCCTGATATATCGGAAATCTCTAATGGTGTTTTCCCTTTTTTGCTGATCAGGACCCTCGTCTTTTCCCCAGATGGATGGAAACCCGGGGACCCCTCACTGCCAGAATAGTCAGCAATTTGCCATCTCACATGTAGCAAGAAGTAACGTGGGGAAAGGGGGATTGGAGGTGCTGGTGAGGAGTAACTGTCCGGAGAGCCATGGTCGCAATCGATTCTGTGCGTCTCCCAGCCCGTCCAGAACCCAAAGAACCCCTGCTGCAATCCTATCTTGTCTAGTGTAGCTCGTTCGTCCGCTCATCTGTGCCTTCAAACCCCAGAAAACCGAGCCTCAACGAGTACCAAGACGGACGGGGAATTGTCCATGAGATTTTTCCGCCATTCAGAGGGGACGGAGAGGGCAGCCCGATGGTGCTGGACCGATGGGGGCGGCAGAGGAACGGCTTGGCTCTTGGCTTGGGAGAGGGGGACCTATTCGGTTTTGCGATCAGCCGACCAGGTCGTGCAATTGGAGGCTTCCGGCAAAGGGTGGGATACATCTTGGGGGTGTGTGGTAACTGTGGTGGTGGTAGTGGTGGTCGACCGTCGAGGTGGCCGGATGTGATGTAGCAACAAGCATGGCATGGCTGGGCTAGTCTCAGAGACTAGGCTTGGCAGGCTAAAGGCAGAACGGATGGCACTCTAGTCAGATGGACGACAGGAACGATGGCTCGGGTACGAGTGTGCGAGCTAAGGGGAGACCAACACCGCAGCCATGGGGACTTCGATGAAAGATCGAAGTATACACGTGCGCATCCTACCTACTGTACGGATACTTGATGGTCTTAAGGTCGTCGGGGCTGTCAGTATGGTTCTCACGGTTCATCTACCTATACAAACCGTGAACTTGACAAGGGAGGTGGGGTCGCTTGGTTTTGGTGTGAAGGCAATGAGATTAAGAAATGGATGACCCTGTCCCCCAGGTTGACTCCCAGATGCCTTGGATTCTTCACCATAGCAAGAACAGAAACAAGATGCCCGCTGACTGCAGATTGGAGGCGTATGCTAACAGCTCAAGCTTAATAGTAATAGACGTGGCTCTCTGGGGCCCCAGAGGAGAGTCCCGTCCTTCCCCAGGTGCCCCGGGATATGCACAGCGGAGCAAGAATAAGGTATCTGTATGCTTGCTAGGACGAACGGCTCTCCGAGCTGTGGCTATTCTCGTTGTGGTTTCCGACGCCGAAATGTGGACCACTCCTTGCAACGAACATGGCGCGTGATTTGCTGGAAGATGCGTCTCTGGTTGTCTTCCCCATCACAGTATTTAGGCTACTGGCGAAGGTGGAGAAAGAGGGACGAGGCAAAAAGGCAAAGAAATAAGAGCGTGGGCCATAGAGTTAGACTGCCATGACTGGCTGTACAAATAGAGTGTAGACCAGGGAATAGTTGTTTAGTGCGCTGGACTTGGTTTAGTCTCTTCTTCACTGCGTATGCGCTGACAGGGAAGTTCGGGCATGAGACGATGTATCCGTACAGGGTTACAGGAACACAAACACCAAGAGCCAAAGAGTCTCTGACAACCAGTCAATAGTTGAGTAGGCAGTCTGTTGATGAGTAGGTACTTCGTAGAACCAACTTGGTTCCGGCGCCTCCCACCCACACCTTTCATCCCACGTCCCGGACCGGTTTCTGCTCCAACCGGTAGCCCATTTGTCGACCCATCCCCGTACGGTGGATTTTGCGGAGTAAGGGCGCGGGTAGGAGAAATGGGGATGGAGACGTGGAGACGTGTTGGAGACCGCGGGGGTCGTCAAGAGGAGCCTGAGGAGGTGGGTGAAGTGGCACAGACACATATGAACCACCTCATGGCCGAACAGACCGTCAGCAAGTCAACGAGTAGCATCGGTATCGACTCTGTCAAAAGACGAAGAATGACTCCATCAAAGTAGATCGCGCCTCTCGGTTGACGCTTGACCATAGCTAGACTAAGCTCGTTCGTAGATGCCTTCAATCAGCGAAGGCACAGTCTAGACTCTTCTTGGACATCTGTCTCGATGGCTTTCCCAACTCAGACTCGATCTGGCACTTCTTCGATGACCTTGACAACCATTCCAGCCAAGGTATCCGTAAGATAGATCGTGATTCGACGAACCCCCCGCCAAACACAATTTGAGTCTGGAGTTCCAACGGCCATTTCCATCTCTCGCGACACCACCCCGACTTTGTGGCGTTGAATCCTAAGGCTTGGCACCAAGTCACGAAGCCCATTCATTTGACGGAAAAATTAATCCGCGTTTCTGACCTGAAGGACCGGATCTTTCTAGTCTGATTCTGCCAACACTCTATTTTCGAAGCTTTTCAATCTTTCTCTGGTACGTACGTTGAGTCACTCTCGTATTTGATAGTTGGTTCAACTTCTTATTCGTCAAAAGAAAAAAAAAAGTACATGCATCTGTAGATAGTCCAGATATGTTCAAGACACCAGGCGCTAAGTGAGCCACTCCAGTCGTCTTTGGCCAACATCATGCGATGTCACATACTAATCCTTCCCCTTCATGTCTGTCTGGTTCCGGACCCGAGTCCTCGGGCCCTGCTAGACCTGTCACGCCCTGCACTGCTTGTGTTGGCGCATCTTTTACAGCTGTAGCTATCCATGAACCAATAGTTCGGCATGTGCCGTACAGTCGCAGCCCAGGGCTATGGGACTCGGCTGCACATCCGCCACGGCTGCCTCGTGGCCTTCAGACTTGATGAGAGTTCCCTAACTGGACTCTGAAGTTATGCTAGTTCGTGAACTATCGGAGGGCTTTTGATCTAGTTCTACATTCTCGATACAATATCGGCGCGTCGCTGTATCGTTATCGCGAACGAGTCTCGTGTAGAGACAGGACGGAAGAATTTCGCCCTCCAAGACCAGACGTTGAAAGCATATGCAAGCCACTTCAAGAGCCTCTGCGTTTCCCCTTTCACTCCCGTTGCCTCGATCATGCCACACCAAGCCCGCGCATTTCTGTGCCACCTCTCACATTCAACGCCAAGATAATTCAGCTCAAACCAAGCCCCCCCTGCTTTTGCTTGTCCCTGACCTGTTTGCGCTGATGAGCCGGGATGTCACTCAGCGAGGTGCATCGTCTACAAGCCCCCGTGGTCACTGTGTTGGGCCGGGACCCGGCTCACCGCGAATGCGTTCTCAACGGGAATGCATTCCAACAGGACGCAATCATCTCCTTCAAGGGTTGGCAATATGCTGTGTTCTACAGTAGCTGTTCTTCCTCAAATCTAGAGGAAACTACTCAGCTTGAACCTCTCTTCGTCTGCTTGGCTCGGCGTAAACTACCCAACTCTGAGTGGCAAACGATAATTTTCGACGATTATCACCAGACCACTGATGATGGCCATAATACCGTGCAGATGGGCATCTGCCCGGGCGATGGCACCATTCACTTATCTTACGACCATCACTGTGACATGTAAGATTGCTTTTCATTCTTATTTCATGCGATAGCTTGGAGTTGCATGATCATTGGAAAGAAACCAGCGTCGCTAACAGATTCCCAAGCTTGAGGTATAGACACTCCATCAAAGGCATAGCCAGTGATCCAGAACGATCCCGATGGAGCAAAGACGTCTTCACTCCGACTCTAGATCACGTTCCCGGCATTCCCCAACCTCATAAAAGTTTCGGCTACGTAACCTACCCACGTTTTGGCACCTTGGGCGATAATATGTTCTTCTCCATAAGGAATGGCAAAGCCGGTCTTGGTGACGACCTATTATACATATACCATGCCGAAACCGGCCTGTACGAGTATGCTGGGAAACACCTTAAGGGCATCCAGAATAACCCATACGTTCATGGCATGGACTACCGTGATGGTAAGCTACATCTTACATGGGTGTATCGCGGTTTCGTACATTACGACGGATGGGACGACCCTCTCGATACGAAACATAAGCAACAAGCCGGGCCCAATGGCGCCGAAAATAACTATAGCATCTGTTATGCTTACAGCGACGACGGGGGTTATACATGGAAGAACGGGCAAGATAAGACGATTGCTTCGTTGAGAGATAGAGGCTCAATTACACCTGATTGCTCCGGCCTCGTTGCCTTTGATATTCCCAAGGGGCGAGGATTGACAAACCAAGAGGCTCAGGCAGTCGATCAGGACGGCGGGGTGCATGTTCTCAACCGCGACACGATGGATGCAGAGAATCTATGGAAGCATTACTATCGATGTCCCGATGGTACGATGATGACACCCGGTCTTTCCTGTAGGTTTGATTGTCACAATATGTTCTCAGCTAACGAGATTCATTGAGCAGGAAGATGGACTCAGCATGCCATTGGGCCGGTACCGAGTCCTCGACGCGGCCGTCTAGCCATCAGCAAAACTGGTGACCTCTTCCTGATCCTTCCCAACCCGACCAATTCATCTCTTCGTATTCTCAGGTCACCAAAAGCAAAGGACTACGCTGAGTCAGTAGAGATCTGGAATGGTATTGGCTTCATAGGCGAGCCGCTCGTGGATGTCAAAAGGCTCGAGGAGGAAGATGTTTTGTCCATCTTTGCCATTATTGAGTCGGCGACCTCATCCGAAGATCGCCGAGTTGTTGTTCTCGACTTTCAGGTGCAGCACAGTATGCGGTGACAAAGAGGCAGATGAGCCAGACTTGTTGAAGGGATGGTCTCGATATGCGCATCTAGAAAGCGCGATTGGCCAGTTCTAGGTGGTGAGCGGCAGGTTGCCGCCCATCACCTCCCCGGAAAGTCCGTGGCAGATACCACCCCATTAATGGAATGGCGGGATATTGCCTCTAGTCCCCGGAATTGACGGGTCCTGCGTAGACAGCGGGAGACCATCGGGCGGCGAGGGAGGTCATGGTCATAGTGAATCCAACCTCGGAGTGCCAAAGTTCCATCTCCGGCGTCCAACACAAAATTAGATACTGTAGATGAAATAGAGCTCCCTAGTGATCATCATATAGTGGATATTCGACCCTCATTTCAGAGTTGTGCCAAGAGTCATCGCAAAAACTCACTGTGTCGTATTTTGCCCCGAATTCCCCATCTCATTGGAGGACTTTGATCCTCAGAAAGATGAGAGGCATGGCTCTGATTGTGATGAAGCTTGTTCCGTTGCGATGATCAAGGAGATGAGGAAAGGACGTTCCCGCGCAGAGTTTCGCCCACTGCGGAATCATTCCTCCTCGCCAAGTTCATCAACTAACCTACCTCCCCCGGTTCGTTTCCCTTGGCATAGCAGCCCTGCCTCAAAACTATCCACCGATGCCAACCATCCCTCCCCCTTCTCGTCAGCCACCCTCTGCACCTCGGTATCTTGAGCCCGAGAAGAGCCGGTGTTCTTTCAATCCCACATTCCCTGCCTTGGTTCTTTGCCCAACGCCCAGAGCAACGAAGCGCGCCGGGTGGCCGCGCCGCTCTGGGCAGATTCTAGGGCCTGGGCAGAAGAGATGCTAGGACCTTGGCGTAAACCAGATGGCTTGCCGCATGCCAAGGAACCCTTCATATTTTAACATGGTTTGTATTGGAGGAATGAAAATTTCAGATGCGAGAGTGCGGGATGAGTCGAGCTGTAACTGTGGAGGACGACTCCCAAGTGCATTTTAGCGGTCCAAACACGACGCGTCTAGGGGGAAGACTCAACTCTTGGCACTTCGGAAAAAGGCTCAATAAGAAGCGATACTAATTCATAAACGATTCACTTGTACGGAAAAGGCCACTATCAACGGTGCACACGGAAAAGGGGTGGGTCAGATCTCATCGTCTTTCACATGCTGAGTCTTGGTATTTGATATAGACAATGCAACTATATTCCCGCCATCATCGCTCATAAATGTCCGCCAATATGCTACGAATAAGAATTATGTATAAGAAGTAGTGACTAAGTTGTCACTTGGATTGTCCTGATGAACGGTCCAACAAACAACCCTTAGTTCTCTTTCCCTGGTCCAGTCCTCACATCCAGATTACCCGGGCTCCATGTTCGCTGAATCGTCCATCTCTCTCTTCTATTTCTGCTTTTCAAAGCTGCGCTCTCTAAGCATTTAGAGAGTCTTGGCGGCCCAGCCAAGCTGCTTGGTGCTGCCGTTGAAGACAACAAAGGCAGCCTTGAGGGCAATGTCACCGTAGATGGAGATGCCAATGCCGGCGTTGCTCTGAAGGCCACCGAAGCAGGTGGAGGTGCTGATGGGAGCGTAGTTCATGTAGGTGGCGGGGATGGTGATGCGAGCGGTGCCGACGCCGAAGGTGAAAGAAGGGACGGTAGCGCTGCAGGGGAAAGTGTAACCACCCTGGGAAGAGTCGTACTTGGCACCGGTGATCTTGGCGTAGTAGGCGGTGACGATGGCCTGGGGAAGGAGGAGAAGGGTGGTGCCGGTGTCAGCAATACCGGTGACGGAGCTGGAGACGAAGCTGGCGGAGCCGACCTGGTAGCCGGAGGAGGTGAACTGCCACCATCCGTTGGCGGAGTTGACGGAGGTGTAGGTGATGGCACCGGTGTAGGCGGTGCTGTCAATGTAACCGAAGTTGTACTTGCCGGCTATAAGTTGAGTGTGTTAGTATCCATTGTTCCATCTTATAATGTCACATCTACTGATAATGTGAGCGAGTACTTACCCTTGCCGTGCTTCAGGTCAGCAGTGAAGAGGAAAGAGTCCAACTTTGACTTGGCAGTGTCGAAGAAGGTGGTCTGCTGGGTGGGCGAAACAGTGTTGATGTTGCTGAAGCCGAGACCAAGGAGACCGTCCAGGTCGCTCTCGGAGGTGAAGGAGTCCGAGACGGTGGAGGCAGCCTCGACGGCCTGGCCGGTGACGGTCAGACCACCGACGGTGACGGTGTCCTTGTAGACAATACCGCTGGAGCTGGAGCCATCACCGTAGGAGATGGACCAGGTGGCGCCAGAAAGGCGGGAGGCGGTGGTGGACTTGGAGGGGTCGTAGACGGTCTGGCCGTTGCGCTGGCTGGCCGGGGTGGAGGTCGAGAAGACCCACAAGTCAGAGGAACCGGTATCGAAGTCGAGGTTGAGGGTCTGGGCCGGGGTACCGATCTGGACGGGGCTCAGGTACTCAACATCGTACTCCTGGGGGTTGGCGGCGACACTGCCGGTGGCACGCTCGACGAGGCCGGCAGAGCTGATGTTGGCGACAACGGCAGCGAGGTCGGCGGGGAGAGGAGCCTTGTACTTGCGGTAGGCCTTGGCGAGAGCGAGGGGACCGGAACGGACGTAGCGGGGGTTCTTGATCTGCTCGACGGTGAAGCCTCTCTCCTGCTGGGCACCGGCGGGGAGGGCGGCGACGGAGGAGGCCAGGGCAAGGCCGGCCGTGAGGGCCGAGACGAAGGAAGAGCCAGTCATTGTGAGATGACTGAAAGCTAATGATGCCGGAGAAGGGAGCAGAGAAGAGGATATGAGGACCAAGGAGGAGGACTGGGAGATGACCGATGAGGATGAGGAGAAGAGATGGGATGATTAACGGGGAGATGGGATGGTTTATATCGTCATCGTCCAGTCTATGAAGATGGTGTTTGGACTCTGTGACCGGGGATGGCAAGTCGGGGCGATAGGATGGATCATGGCGACATTACTCGCAGTCCTTGCCAACATCACGGGCTCTGGATATGTCAAGGCCAACAATAACAGGCAGGGGGGAGTTCGTGAAGGAGGGCCATCATGGTGTGCGGCACAAGCTAGCCGTGGGGGAATACCACCTTCCAAGAGGGAGCATCGTGCAATAGCAAGGCTGCCTGTCGCGACTCCATATCGCGCCGACAAGGACGATGGTACTGCGCATCATGATTCGAGAGAACAGAGGGGCTAGATTTGATGAGAAGGGACGGTAGTCGGTAGTGTGTAGATCACCAAGGAGGAACAACAAGCAGTTGACTACTTGCGGCAGCCATCAACGGGCAGGCTAGTCTCGAACAGGGGACTGATAGACTCTAGTCTCTAGAGCTCTTCAACTAAGGTCGTAGCTCCATCTGTCTCTCCGCCATGGAGCTCATGGAATGGTGGAAGATGGAACCCCCATCTCAAGGACCAGCCTATTCCCGGCCAGGGGTTGGGAAGGGTTATGGGAACTTTTGACCAAAGCTTGTCACTGGCACAAAGTCCCCAGCAGCTGTAGACTAGATGAAAAAGAGCAGGTCGAAAAAAGGGTCGAACCAGTCGACGCTTGTTTGTCGAGTATCGACGCACCGCCGTCCTCCGCTCTTGGATCCAAGGCCGGAAGTTGAGATGAGTGAAAAGGGGAATAAGGCCAAGAAAACAAAGCAGCAAGGCACCAAAAGCAGATGATATGAATGGAGCCGAGCTGATGGAGGGTGGTCCGCGGCGGGGAGAGGAGCGCCGGCGGAGGGCGGGACCAACCAATCCAGAGGCGAAACGAGGCATTCTCGTCTAAAGCGATCTGATTCTGGTCCATCACTCCATGATCCATCCACCCTCGCGATAGCCCCGGTGCCGGTCTTGAGTGGTGCCGTGTGGTAGAGTGGTCCCTCGTTCTCGAGTCGACGTTGAAAGCACCTACCTTTCCGGGACATGGCTCCGGGAGTCAGCCAGGCCACATTACGGTCCAAGACCGCTGGAGCTCCGAGAAAGGTCGAGGGTTTGGCTGGTACGTCGAGACAGCAAGCAGGCGAACCCATGCTTTGCGGCGGCGTGGTGGTGGTGTTCTGACGGCGAACCTACAACCATCCCGTCTCTACCATTGGTCTTCTTGGCTCTTGATGCGCCTCGGCACATGGAAACAAGCTTTACCGCCAAGTCCCCACCCGCAATCCCGCATGCGCGCCCAGAGGTTGGCGATTGCGACCTTGCGAACCCTTCGATTGCTCGATCCCCTGGGAGCATTGCTTCATTCCATGCCTGCCCAGAAAATGCCCAGTCTGGGGCCGCAGCAGGTACGAGATCGAGGCCAAGACGGGAAGGAAGACAAGAGAGTTTTCTAGGTTCTTGGAGGGGAAGAATCCCAAGGGGGGAGGTGGAGGAGAAAGAGGGTCATGAAGGCTGAAGCGAAGCGGAACAGACAGGACAGGGGGGTTGAAGGGGGGGATCACGCCGCTTGCCGCCGCGACTCCATTGTCTCTTTGCATATTCTCTGTGTCAACGCGGGATCCAGCTGAGCGGGTTTCGGCTGTTTGATGCCATCTTGGCGATGTTTCTTGGCGATGCTGCCCTGTGGCCCCAACTACTACCTTGCCTTGCCGACCAGGCGATGAGTGAGTGAGTGAATGAAAGTGAGTTTTGTGACTTGTGAGTGAAATCACCCGACTTTGCGAGTGAATGAGACTGAGAGAGGCGTTGACCTGTCATGACGTGCTGCGGCTATTCCGGCCTGGACCCTGTTCCCGTTGCATTCAACTTCTCAATAGAGACTGGGACCTCGCGGATTTGGCGACTCAGCAGGCGACTGGGGTTACCTTTGCAAAAGTTCGCGCGTATTGGTTTTGGGGCCGACTACACTATCCGTCTTCCAGCTTGTTTCTTAATTGCGCCCGTGAGACTTTTTGAGAGAGAACCTCTTCTCACATTCCTCATTTGATCTATGTCTCCGAGCACTTTGTCGTCATCGCCGTCGATGAGGCGAGAGAGGGGTTCAATGAGCTGAAGATAGCCCCGAGAATCGCCTCAAC